ATTCGTCAGATAGAGGTACAGAGGGAACCAGGGCAAAGAGACCTGGGAGAGATAAGACAAGAGAAGAAAGATGGGGAAGCTCAGGGATGGCCCCAGAGCAGGTTGCTTGAGATCTAGAAAAATTGCCCAGGAAGATAGAGATGTCCATTTTGAAAGCACCTAAGCATAAATATGATTCTATTTTTTTTTAAAGTTCTTCTGGGGCCTCCCTGGGGGCACAAGGGGTTAAGACGCAGCCTATGAGGCTATCTGCAGTCACTGCAGCACAAGTTCGATCCTGGGCCAGGGAGCTACCCATATGGCGCAGCAGACCCCTCCTTACTTGCCCGCTGCTCCCCTCAGCAGTGTACTTTGGTCAATCTGTCTGTTTCATTCCCCACTCTGTCTCTGGTGAATCCTCTCACCCCCTGCATCTCTGGCCTCTGCCCCAGCTCTTGCATGCATAAATAAATAAATCTTTAAAAAATATAAAGTTCTATGTTTTTTTAAAGATTTGTTTATTTATGCAAGAACTGGGGTACAGGCCAGAGGTGTGGGGGGTGAGAGGATTCACCAGAGACAGAGTGGAGAGCAGAACAGGCAGACTGACTGAAATACACTGCTGAGGGGAGCAGCGGGCGAGTTGGGAGAGGTCTGCTGTGCCATGTGGGTAGCTCCCTGGCCAGGGATCGAACTCATGCTGCAGTGGCTGCCGATAGCTTCATAGGTTGCTTCTTTTTTTTTTTTTTTTTTTTTTTTTTTTTTTTTTTTTTTTTTTTTTTTTTTTTTTATTTATTTATTTGTTTGTTTATACATGCACTGGGCACAGTCAGAAGCGCGGGAGGGTGAGAGAATTCACCAGGGCCAGAGGGGGAGCAGAGCAGGCAGAAGGACCGAAGTACACTGCTGAGGGGAGCAGCGGGCGGCAGGAGAGGTCTGCCGCCATGCGGGACCCTCCTCCGGTGGCCGGGGAGCAGCCGGGGATCGAACCGGCGCCGCAGAGGCTGCGGGCAGCTTCGCAACCCAGCACTCAACTGCTGCGCCACCGGGGAGGCCCCCAAATATGATTCTTAAAATTGGGGTCTATGGGAAGCCACTGAGATCAATCACTTTTACTTTTTAAAAAATTTTTATATATTCTTTGCATCATTCATTTTTGTACAATGTATGCTTTCTCCTTTCAGGTGTAGTTCCTATGAAATCCCACCACCTATTCACCCGTGTCCCATCACCATAGTCCCTTGTGCTCTTCCCTCCCCTGTTTTCATCCTTCTCCCTCCTCTTCCCTGCAGAATATCTCTGATTTATAGTTGCCTGTTGATTTTTATTTTTCATTTATTATAATTACTTTCCCCCATCTCTCATTTGTTTCCTCTATATTCCTCCTATAACCATCCAATATTTTTCTTTTTCTTTCTGGCTTATTTCACTGAAAATAATCCCAATCACTTTTACTTAAGGGTACAGAATAACATGAAGGAGTTAAGTGTGTGACTTTGGGTTCAAATGATTTGAGTTTCACTTCCAGCTCCAACGCTAGGCAACTTAGACAAGTATTTAACCTCTCGGAGCCTTTTCTCAGCTGTGAAATTAGGATAATAATAACAACACAAGAGTTTGCTGTGAAGATGAATTAAATCATCCCTTACAAGCAGTTAATATAGTATCTGTTTCATAATGGATTCATGGGAATTTTTGTCTCTCTTGGTTTTCCATTGAATATTACATTTTATTTCTTTTAAAGATTTATTTATTTATGCATACAAGACCTGGGGTACAGGCCAGATGTGTGGGGCATGAGAGGATTCACCAGAGACAGAGTGGGGAGCAGAACAGGCAGATCTTATGACATACACTGCTGAGGGGAGCAGTGGGAGAGTCCGGAGAGGTCTGCTGTGCCATGTGGATTAGCTCCCTGGCCGGCCTGGCTGCTGATAGTTTCACAGTGCTGTGCTTAACCCCTTGTGCCACCAGGGAGTCCAGAATATTACATTTTTAAATGAAAAAAAAAATCCAACTTATCAGTCTCCTTCCAAAGCAGGATATCCCTGGTTCACCTATTTCTTTGCGCTGTTTCTGGAAAGGGGGCACCATCTTCCAGTGTCACAGAAGTCTCTAGAAGGCAGGGGAAAAGTCTGCAAACATGGGCTTCTGGCAAGCAAACATGCTGCCGGGGTGGAGGCTGGGTTGTTTGAATCTGTTTAACCAGAGCACTTGCCTTTAATATTTCTGTCTCCCAGCAGAGCTTGGCACGGAGTTTACCCCATTTCTGTATTTCAGTATCATAACAAGGATTTGGAGTTTGCATTACCCAGTGGAGGAACTCAGGTGCCTAGGCAGTCCTCTAGGTCTGCAGAGGAATGCCTGGAAGTGCCTGTGAATGAGCTTAGTGGGAGGAAAACAAATGAATTGCTTTCACTTCCTTTCGTGCCATATTTTCCCTTCCCTATTTAGAGATCTCAGGAGGCTGTGCTTTTTAACTCAGACTTCCTCGGGTGACATGCTGATGATCTTCTGAATGGGAATTAATTGGTTGGTATGATTTTGGCTCAAAGAAGTAGACATGGAGCTCCCACCTTCCCATGAGCGCGGAGAGGCTTTGGTGCCACTCCTTAAAGAGGGGGCTCCGGTGAACAGCCACAGCGTATGTGAAGCCAACTAGGTGTGTAGTGGAAGCAGCAGGGTATGTGGGGTGGGTGTTATTTATTCTATTTCTTTTTTTTAAATAAATAAATCTTTTTTATTTTTATTTTTTTAAGATTTATTTATTTATACAAGCACTGGGTACAGTCAGAAGCGCGGGAGGGTGAGAGAATTCACCAGAGCCAGAGCGGGAGCAGAACAGGCAGACTGACGAAGTACACTGCTGAGGGGAGCAGCGGGCGGCAGGAGAGGTCTGCGCACCATGTGGGACCCTCGCCCGGCGGCCGGGGATTGAACCGACGCTGCAGAGGCTGCGGGCAGCTTCACAACCCAGAGCTCAACCCCTGCACCACCTGGGAGGCCTTATTCTATTTCTTGAATCAAGCAGCTTCCTTTCTCTCCACGTGACGAGTGGCAGGAGGCTAGGTGTGCACTTGCCAAGGGCAGGACTCTGCTTTGTCCCCATATCCGTCTGCTTTCGAGTTCCTTTCGCGATTTCCTGACTAAAGTCAGCAGTGGTCAGGGGACGTAGCAGAAGGCACAGATCCTCTGGAAGGTAGTGCTGAGAGAGGGGAGTCCTGGGTTTCTCTGAGACAGGACATTTGGGAACCCCCATGATCATGCCTCCCGCCGTCCCATCCCAGTGAGGAGAGCGGTGAGTGTGTGTGGACACTGTGAAGTGCCCCATGTCATCCAGTTGTCCTGACGGCTGCTTCTAGCTGTGTCTAGGAGAAAAACTATTCTCCATCCTTGCTTGGGAGTCTCTTGTTTGAGTTTTCAGCACCATCTGTGGCCCTGTCTGGCAGCACTCCAAAAAAGGAAGGGAAATGCAGCGGCAGGCCGGTCTGTCCTCAGGCTCAATCTTCCTTTAGCAGCTATTTCCCGGGTAAACACAAGGGGCTGCTGCCAGGCGGGTAGTGAATACAAGGACAGCACCGACCCTGCCTCGTTCAGCCGGACATCACACCCATGATCACACAGTGGCCACAAAAGAGGACAACGCGGTGCCAAACAGGGAGATGAGATTGAGCCTCCAGTGTCAGGAAGGCCCCACTGCGCGGGCTGGCGGCCTAGGAAGTGGGAGATATCACAGGACAGGGAAGGAAGTGTGGGGAGCGCCAGAGCCTCCTTAAAGGAAAGCCAGTTATTATCGCCAAGCCATTTACAGTTTGTTTCTTTCGAAGCTAGCAAATACAGAACTCTCCCATAATTAAAACAGAATCCACTCAGCCCAATAATTATAGTTTCTTGAAATATTTATGCTTATAGTTTGCCTCTCCAGCTGAGGACTTTGTGAGGAGCAGGCCTGGGTCTGCTGTCCTTGGGCTCCTAGTGCAGCCCCCTGACCCCCATCACCCAGCCTGCTCTCCTCCAGAGTGACTACTGATGTGCATGTGCCAGAGGCTAGGCTGGCACGCATTCCCGTTTCATCACCTTGTGACAGGTGATAAAATCACGAGCCTCATGGACAGAAAGGAGCTCGGCCAGCACGACTGGAACTAAAGTCTGAGTCTGACACTAAGCCTGCTTCTCTGAGCTGCCTCCCACCTTTTCTATCATATTTAGTATTATATTCCTATGATAAAATACCTATTTTCTATTGTCCTTTTTGTATCGTTTTAACACTGTGGGGATCACCACTCTTACTCTCTGAAGAACTTTTTTTTTTAAAGATTTATTTTATTTTTACAAGAACCAGGGTACAGGCCAGATGCGTGGGAGGGTGAGAGGATTCACCAAATACAGAGCGGGGAACAGAACAGGCAGACTGACGAAATACACTGCTGAGGGGAGCAGCAGGTGAGACAGCAGAGGTCTGCTGCGCCCTGTGGGTAGCTCCCTGGCTGGCTGGGGATCGAACTTGTGCTGCAGAGGCTGAGGACAGCTTCATAGTGCTGTGCTTAACCACTCGCACCACCAGGGAGGCCCCACTTCTATTTTTAATGGATTACGGTATTAATGCATCTCAAATGAAGTGAACTGAGGTGTTAGATGAGGTGGGAGTAGCCTCAAGCCACTTTACTGCCCAGTATTACGGCTTACACTGTGTTTTTTTTTTTTTTTTGTCTTTTATTTTAAAGATTATTTATTTGTACATAGAGGAACTGGGGTGCGGGTCGGGTCAGAGGTGTGTCTATGTGGGTTGGGGGTGAGAGGATTCACCAGAGACAGAGTGGGGACCAGAACAGGCAGATTGACTGAAATACACTGCTGAGGGGGCCAGCGAGCAAGATAGGAGAGGTCTGCTGTGCCATGTGGGTTGCTCCCTAGCCGGGGATCAAACTCAGTCCTCAGTGGTCAGAGCCTGAGACTTAAATCCTAGGCCACCAGGGAGGCCCCCTGACTAGCCTTTTAATTCCACATTTCTTTGTTCCAAGGTAAAAGAGGCACCTCCCGAGGCTGAGATGGTGTTCACAGCGCGGCGGCCAGCGGTAGCTTTCCAGGCTGGCGGGGACTCGTGGCGGGAGCAGAAGGAGAAGCGGGCGGCCGTGATGGTGGGCATTCTCATTGGCGTGTTTGTGCTGTGCTGGATCCCTTTCTTCCTGGCGGAGCTCATCAGCCCCCTGTGTGCCTGCAGCCTGCCCCCCATCTGGAAAAGCATATTCCTATGGCTGGGCTACTCCAATTCTTTCTTCAACCCCCTGATTTACACAGCATTTAACAAGAACTACAACAATGCTTTCAGGAGCCTCTTCACCAAGCAGAGATAAACACGGGCTTGTGGGGACCCACGAGAGAGGTGTGGGGAGGAAACTCGTGTTTCTGGCCTTCTCTAGTGATCTGGGAGCCCGCCTCACAGCTGTGTCAGGGACACACCCTTGGTCCCAGACTGCAGGAGCAAAGGTTCTCTCAGCGGAGCAAATGTGTGGTGAGGTGCGCCCCGCCCTCATCCCATGTGTGTGGCTGACATGGTGGGTCCAGCATGGCCCGTGTCCCCATGGAGCAGGAACTGGCCCGGTATCCTTTCCTGACAGCACTCTAATTCATAGAGTGGACACAAGTGGAAACTGATTCACCTCTCCACAGTTTCATGCTCTAGTCCTAGAGAGAGTCTCCAGCACAGGGCCCCAGGGGCCTCTTGGGACCCACTCAGGCCACAGGACTTCCCTGTGAGATATCACTCCCTCCACTCCTCATCCACCCAATTCAACTTATGTTCCCCAGTATCTAAGGCAGTGTGTCCCAATTTGTGAGATGAGAATGATCTGAAATGTTGCCTTGGAAAAGATTGTTCAGCTAACCCTTCTCTTCTCAATCAGACATTCAACAAAGAGGCCTGATAATTTGTATTTTAGTAAGTTCTCTAGATTATTTTTTTTGTCAGTGAGAGACTTTGCTGGATGCATAGGATCTTTAGCCCAATTACATTGGCAATTCTCGGGGAGGAGATCCAGGCAGCAGGGCTTTGAAAGCTCCCAGGTGATTCCAGTGAGTGGCCAGTATTGCCAACCCATGGTGAGGCCCTTGTTCTGGGCTTCAAGAGAGCAGCTGTGAGAAGTGCTCCCATTTTATCACATACTGACTTGTATGTGTAACAAAAAACACACTGTCAGCATTCATTTCTAGGCTTGGAATCATTCATGCACAGGGCCTTCCCAGTGGCGCAGCGGGTTGAGTGCAGTGCTGTGAAGCTGTCCACAGCCTCTGCAGCATGGGTTCGATTCCCGGCCAGCCAGGGAGCTACCCACATGGCACAGCAGACCTCTCCTGTCTCACCCACTGCTCCCCTCAGCATTGTATTTCGTCAGTCTGCCTGTTCTGTTCCCCACTCTGTCTCTGGTGAATCCTCTCACCCTCCAGCGCATCTGGCCTGTACCCCGGTTCTTGTATAAAATAAATAAATAAATCTTAAAAAAAAGCTCTCGTATAAATAAATAAAATCTTTAAAAAAAAGAATCATTTGTGCACATACACATATTCACACATAGCCATCTGCACACATAGCCTTACATATTTGTACATATGGACACAAGCAACACATGTATATACACGTGCACGTGTAAGTCACTGAGATGCCTGCTGTGGAACTCAAAAAGAGCACCAACAGAGCCCTCCAAACCTGGCATCGTGAACCTTAGCCTTCCCGAAAATATTGACTGTGGCCCACATGTGTAGGAATCCAAGCGCCTGGATGCAGGAAAGGCCTTTTTATGTCATTTTGGCCCATCTACCTGAGTTTGGAGGGAGACTGACTGCCGATTGACAAGGCTTTTTAGTTTATGCCAAATAGTCGCCTCTCCCATGGCTCCCTTGCTGTCTGGGGTATGCAGACATTCTTTGAGCTTACACACTCGCGTGTAATCAGAATATAGGTCCATAGTACCTCTTGCCAACCTTTGGGATCAGGTAGGTTTTAGGATTTAGAATGTTCATTTTCAGTTTTAGAAAAGCAACATGATGTATAGTTCATACATTTTTAACACCCTCTGCTAGCCCTGGGGCAGCTGCCTCTAACCAAATGCATGAATATTTCTGTAGTACTATGTATGAATATTTACACTGTGAGAAAAGGACTAAAAATTGCTTCACATTGGTGCCAGCCAGTTGGGTCCAGATCATATTTTGTTGTTTAATGAGTTAGAAGCAATCTTTGTTTGCTGAACTTTTTGTGTTTTTGCAATCGTGGATATGGGATTGTGAACCCAATCACCCCCAGCTAGCTGCAGTGCCAGCTTTGCTAGGTCTCAGCTCTGTTGAGAGGAGAGATTCTGAAGGGAGTCTGGGGAGAGCCCATGGTTCAACTGTCCCCTTGTTCTTAGAGACTGGGACATCCCAAAGATGCTTCGTATGATCCTCTAGGGCAGCTCTCTCGGAATTGGGTTTTGCAGCTTTGTTCTTTCATTAGAAGAAGCTACGAGAAATAGTCTCAAGAAACCTATCAAAGTATTTCATGTATTGTCAAAGTCACTCTTGGTGAAGACATATTTTCTTAAGATAATGAAGACTTTATTGCTGTGATTCCATGTGCATTTTGATCAGGAGGAAGAACAGAGGCAAATTTCTGGCTTAAGTTTGGAATCTATGGAGGACCCCTTCACTCCCTTACTTATGTTTTTAATGTGTCTAGCCGGTCTATAATTCTAGTTCTTATTTAGGTTATCCCTATCCTAGTGTTTTGTGTTCTATCTATATTTTGCTATCAAATTCCATGTATTTCCTACAGACCTCCTGTAGGGTAAGTGAAAAAGTATCAGGCTTTCTGCCCTCTCACCATTAGGATTGATGATGGATCCCTGCGGTCCTGAATGCATGCCTGATGGCGGGCACCTGAATAGGGTGTGGGCCTATGTAGATGGGATTCACCTGGGCTGAGAGACTGGGCTTATAAGGGCGGCGTCATGGGGACTCCAGTAGGAGCAGAGAAGCAGAGAGAACGAGAGCGAAAGAGAAGCAGAGACCACCAGAGAACGCCGGAGAGCCCAGAAAGAGTGAAGACTTGCTGGGGGCTGGCGGGCTGGCAGGCCCTTGACACCCCTTGCCAGCCGTGTACCTGGTAAATCCCAATAAAAGCCTGAGAAGCCACCGAGGGCTCCAGGACTCTCTTCTCCTTACCCTGTCTGCTCGGATCATAGAAAACCTGCTCTGGCCGTTCCCGCCCCTACGCCACCTCATATCATCTGTGAGAAAGTTGATGACTGACAACCTGGATGAAGTGGAGCAGCTAGGTATGTAGTTACCAATCAAATGGCATGCTCAGCCTTTCATTGTCCTATTTTTAAAGGATGGTGCTGAAACTTGGGGCTACTGGGGATCTTTTTCTCCTGGCTGAAAGCTAGTAGGCAATGTTAATGCAGAATCAGGAATACATTTTAAGAGTATATTTATCAAGCACCTGCCAGTGCAGCCGTTGTTGCAGGTTTTATACACTAATGTTCATTTCATCCTACATCTATCCTACAAGGTAGGTGCTGTCCTCATCTAAACACATCCCAAGAGGACAGGGAGCTAACCAGGGTCACACAGTGAATGCACAGAACTTGGTCCATAGCTGGACACAATCAGTCATATTCCAACAGGATGTAGGGAAATGAATCAGGCTTTTATTCTCCCACCCTCCCGCCATTAGCCTCTATGGCTGGCACCTGAAGCTTTGCACGGACACCTGTGGTGGTGGGCACCTTGGTCCAGAGAGCACGTGTGTGTGCATGTGTAAATGTGGATACCTGTGCTGAGGCCAGGCAAGGAGGACCCCTCTAAGATGAGACCATGAGACTGAGAATGCCAGAGAGAGGCCCGGAAAGAGCACAAAGACTCATGGGAGCTGGGGAGCTCAGTTGCCTGTCTGCCCGATCCCAGCTCCCCCTGCCTGGCCTGTGCCTGCCTCCTTGCACGCCAGCCTCCCTGCCTGTGTACCGGTTCCCCGAGAGGGCATTAAAGGCCTGTAATATCCACCGAGGGCTCCGGGAATTTCTTTACCCTTGTCTGCCTGAGTCAACAGGGAACCTGCCCTGTGCTCGCTAGTACCACACATGAGAAAGGTGAATAGAACCCAGGAGAAACCCGACTGGACTCCACATTTCAAAATTCACTTGCATTTTGCAGCTCAAGACCTGTGTGCACCTCTGTGGGCTGGCCCAGGTGTGGTGGATTGGGTTGCATTATTCCAGTGGATTCCAGGCAGGAACTTTGGTGAAGAGTCTGTACGGTCGGGAGCTCTGGGGTTAAGTTCTTTGGTTTACCCTCATGAGTGGATAGGATGCTTTATTGTTGTTCCTTTGGGCCTGGGCTTTTGACTTTGATAGCATCATTGTGGAAGCATCATGCAGGGGCCATTTATGCTTAGAGTCCCTTTTTTGCTTTTTTTTAAAGATTTATTTATGCATACAAATACTGGGGTGTAGGCCCAAGGTGCAGGGCATGAGAGGATTCACCAGAGACAGAGTGGGGAGCAGAACAGGTGGATTGACTGAAAGCACTGCTGAGGGGAGCAGCAGGCAAGACAGGAGAGGTCGGCTGCACCATGTGGGTCAGCTCCCTGGCCGGGGATTGAACTCAGGCCACAGTGGCTGGTGATCGCTTGATAGCGCTGAAACTTTAACCCCTGAGCCATCAGGGAGGCCCAAGATTCCTTCTTAAAAGGAAGCTGTTTTCTTGCAAACTTGATGGCTGTTTCTGTTGGATCTTTCAGACTTGACCCTTTTCTTCAATTGGTGAGGCCTTCCCTGAGTACTTTCTTTAATTATGAAATGCTGAATTCCTGAAGTGATCAGCTGACAATTAACTTTATGTAAGGATGCACTTATAATTCCTTTTCCTGCAGAGTATCCGAAGTAGAAATCTATTGACAAAATATCTGCTGTACAATGAATATTTCAGGAGCTTCCTTAAATAAACGTAATGTCTGTTTTGTCTCAAAACCCTTTGCCTGTAGAACACAACTAAGACAGGGTTGGGAGGCTGTGAGAATTCATCTCATTCCTGTCAGGATTTATTTGCTGACTAAGATGTCACTAAGGTCTCTTGTCAGAATACAATTCCAGAAATTTCCAGAACTGTAAGATGGATGTGACTAACTTACTAATTTTATTTAATAAATTCTGTCATGTATGATGTGTATAAAGTAAATAACTTGTCTCCCTTTTAACACGGTCTCCATGTTAAGGCTGCTCTCTGTTCCCAGAGGTCTGCTCTTTTGGACCCTCCACACTAGTGCTCTGGTGAGGAGAAGTGAGTTGGAAACCCCAGGTCATAACCTATCATGACATCAAAATGCTGTTTGCGTCAGCTATGTTCTCAACGCTTGTGCACAATTACTACACAATCTGGGTGGTGCGTAGCAGCAAGCCTTTCTTCTTGTAGAGAGGAGTTGACTGGGATTTCCCTGATCTAGGCTGGCCTCTTCTGGGCTCGGCTGCAGCAGGTCAGTCACATCTGCTCCATGTGTCCCTTGTCCTCCGTTCTCAAGAGAGGAGCTCAAGAGGGCAAGCCCAGCAACACAAGCACATTTTCTTTGTGCTTTGCTCAGATCAAGTCTGCAAACCCACAGACTGAGCAAAAGCCCGGTGTCATGGCGGGGGACGTACCTTTCACTACCAGGTCACATGACCCAGGCATCTGTTCTGCGGTACTAAAGAATAGAAACCAATAACTTGATGCTCAGCATTTTATAAAAGAAAGGAAGGACAAGAAAAAGTGCAGTGTAGAAAAAGTAGCACTGTCTCGTAAAATGTTTGTTTCAGGTATATTTCCTTTTTTTATTACATTTTATTTATTTATTTTTTATTTTATTTTTTTAAATAAATTTTATTTTTATGTTCCCCATACAATTGCAACCCCCTTATTTTGACCCCAATCCCTCCCCTCCCTACCCCCCACCCTCCATAGTGTCTCTGGTTCACTGTTGTTTATTTTGATTTTCACTTTCTTATTCATTTTCCTGGTCCCTTATTTAAGTTTTCTAGATTCCTGCTATGAGTGAGACCATCCGGTATTTTTCTTTTTCTTTCTGGCTTATTTTGCTGAGCATGATCCCTTCCAGCGCCATCCATGTTGCTGCAAATTGCATGTGTTTATCTTTTTTGAATGCTGAGTAATATTCCATGGTGTATATGGACCACATCTTCTTGATCCAGTCATCTGTTTTTGGGCATTTGGGTTGTTTCCAAAGCTTAGCTATTGTAAATAGTGCTGCTATAAACATACGGGCGCAGGTGCTCTTTGGAATTGATGTTTCTGTGTCCTTTGGGTAAATACCTAGGAGTGGAATTGCTGGATCATTTTTTTTTTTTTTTTTTACATTTTAAAAGGACAGTTTTATGAGGCGAAAGAAAGAAAAAAGAGAGGCACCTGCATGATCACAGGCGAGCTGCCTGTTTCTGGTATATGTTCATCTGGATTATTAGTTAGCCTTTAACTGGGTTGCCTGCTTTGGTGCTTATCCCGCTGTGGTCTGTGTTTGGTTGGGGAAGTATAAAGTGGGGAAAGCACTTTAGCCAGCGGGATCCCTATTATGATCTTCTCAAAACCCTCCAGTGGTTTCCAACACAGGTCCGCTTCCTCACCCCAACTCACCTGCTCGGCCAGCAGCTGCCTCAAGGCCTTTATCCTGCCAACTCCCTCTGCCTGGAATTCTCCTGCAGGGATCTGTGTGACCCAGTCCCTCATTATCATAAAGTTGCAACCACCACCACCACAACCCCCCACGCAGACACTCTGGACCCGCCTTCCTTCTCAGTTGGCACACGGACGCGACATGCGCTGCAGTTTACACATGTACCTCATTGGCATCTTTTCCCCATTGGCGTGTAGCTCTAAGGAGGCAGGTTCTTCTGTTTTGACACTGCTGTATTCCCAAGGCCTGCCCCATTGTAGACAATCAAATAATTCTTGGCAGAATGAATGAGTCAACAGGGATTTATCTTCCTCACGGGAGAAGAAATATGTAGGCAAGAGGTCCCCAGTTTGGCTCAGCAGCTCATCAAGTCTCCAGGCGTCAGGCGCTCCATCTTTTCACTCTGCTCAGCTTGCTGTGTTACGATGTTTCTTCTCAGAGTCTCAAAATGGCTGAAGAGCTCCCGCCACCTTATACTTTCCCAACAAAACCAGCAGCTTTCCAAATGCACCTTTTGCTGGTTACCATCAGCACAAGTCTCCTCCCTGTGTGGCCACAGGGGCTTAGACACCCATCTGTATTCCACTCTTGGGGCATGGAAATTAGATTCCCACGACTGCTTCGGAACCAGAACTGCCTCTAGGATTCCTCTCCTGGGCCTGGGCCAGGGCTCATTGCCCCCCAGCCAGCGCAGCACAGAGCCAGCTTGCCTGGTCAGGAAAGAGCCACCTGCTCTTGCAGGGGGTTAATGGTTCCCCTGGGACCATGGCTCAGAGGTACCATCTGCATCTTTTGTAGCCCATAAGCTAGAGAAACAGGGGTGCGCTGTGACATTCAGGAGATGGAGACAACTCTGCAGCAGCCCCTGTCTGTCCTCAGGGCTTTGCCACTTCACAGACCACTTCCCCCTCTTGCCTCCTCCCTGTTGCCCCAACACTCACACAACCCAGGAGACCAGTCCTTGCTGCTGCAGCTTCTGTGTCTCCCCAATGTTGTTCCACCGGAAGAGGAGAGGCCTCTTTTCACTTCCCTATTCCCCCAGATCCAGGAAAAGGAGATTTTAACTACTTCTGACTCAATGCTTTGCTATTCTCAAGGAAAGCAAATTTTAGAAAACTAAGCCAAGTTAAAATTTAAAAACTTTTATTTCTTCAAATAGATAATGTATGTACATGGTACAAAATTTTGAGGTACAAAAAGGTATACAGTGAAAGGTTAATTCCCACCCCAATTCCCAGGGGCTACCAGGGTTGCCAAGTGGCTGGGCATTTCCCAGAGACACCTGGGCACAGCAAGCAGGTGTGTTTGATACACACACAGAGATACACACACACACACACACACACACACACACACACAGAGACATAGACCCACTACATGCTTTTCTCCTTCCCTTCCTCTTTTAAAGACAAATATAGCAAGAGCCTCTTCCCCTCACCCCCCAACCATGCATGCTGGTTGTCATTCCCTGGCAGTATATACAGGACAGCTCCTTTCTTTTCAATTTCTTTTAATATTCCACTGGATGAATGCGTCATACTTTGTTTAACCGTTTTCCTATGTTGGTGGTCATTTCCAGCTTGTCGCTATTACAAGGCTGCAATGCAAATCCTTGAACAGGGGGATATTCTTAGAAGCAGCATTGCTAGCTCCAAAGATTTGTGCATTTGCACTTTTGATAGATACTGTGCAGCTGCCCTCTGTGGAGGTTGTACAGGTCAGAGACTTCATCAACGCTATCCAAGGTCGCCTCCCCTTCCTTCACTCCACGTGGCTGAGTCATTTCAACCAGTCAAGTTACCTTCACATTCATGACAGATTTTGAAGCAAAGCATAGTCATGAGCTAATCTCTGATATTCGTGTGTTCCTTTCCTCTTTCTTTCCCCTCCCCCGGGGAACATCTGTAAGAGGCAATTCCTTTGACAGATTCCAATCTCTGAGGTCAGGGCCTCACAGACTCCAAGAAAACCCTCTAAAGCTGCTACTCAGCATAAATAAGATGGCTAAGTCTGCCGATGCAGGATGCAAAATTGTAGTTTGGGGAAGCATTATATCCGACCAGAATTCCTAGGTCATCCATTTAGGGGACTGCTAGGTGCTTGCTTTTGGGGCTCTCACACTCCAGAGTTACTCAGATCTCCCAGTGGACCGAGAGAATCAAATAGTGACTTCTGCCACCAAAGTGGGCAGCAGAAAAAGGGGAGGAGGTGGACAGGGCTGCAGGTTTTGTACAAGTATCAGGTGGATGGGGAAAGCCCCTGCCCATAATCTTAGGAGTAAGTGTCAAGACAGAGGGAACAGCAGAGGCCCTGGCCACACGCAGGTGTGAGCTTGTTATGTTGGAGGAACTGATGTGAGGCTGGGGTGAAGAACCCCGAGGATCCCTCACATTGTCAAAGACACTGCAGACCAGCTACTCAAGGTTTCCTGTTTTCACACATTTTTTGTGTGAAGAAGAGAGCCTGTTATACTTTCTCTGCAGCATTTTCAGCCCACTAGCACATACAAGAGTATGCTCTGGACTGGGGCGAAAGGACCAAGCTGGGGGCTGGGCATCACCGACACAGCCCACCTGGATGGTGCCCAGCCACATGGACAGGCAGTGGGCACCTCATCCTAGGGGCTGGTTACTGGATTGTTTTGCTCTTTCTTAAACTCTTTCAAGTCAACTACTGACATCTCAGGCTCAGCCTAAGTTAACTGTTCAAACACTGCTAGAAAGTACTTCCCTCTGACACCCAAAGACAATAGTCACCTGTCGTGAGGGCACAAGGCCATGCCGAGGCGGCTGACATTAACAAGACACACAGGTCACTGCTTACTTGCGGCACACCCTTTCCCGCAGGTCAGCTCTGGTTGTGACAGGGCGCCTCATGGTACAGCCCGAGGCCACAGAGATGGCACTTTGTGGGGTAGGAAGAGGGCTTCTGAGGCCTTCCCCACCCTCTCCTCCTGTTTCAGGAGGGCCTACGGGCTCCAGCACCCTCAGGGAGCAGCTTGGGAAAGGCCTCCTATTAATACCAGCCATCTGCCTTGCGGCTGGTCAGGTTCAGTGGATACGGGCAGGGCCTGGCTGCCCACAGAATACGAGCTGTGGACCTGAACCAATTAAAACCATATACTTCAGAGTCTCAAAAAGTGCTTAGGCCTGGCCAGCTTGGAAGATGCCCTGTTAAAAGGGGAAGACCCCTCTTGTGTTACTGTGACAGCTGTTCTCTAACGCTTGGACGTCCCTCGAGTGCTGGTCACAGACCCTAGTCATAGACCCTAGTCATACACGGGAGACTGTCAAGCATAGGAAGTAGGCCCCAAGCTTCTCCCCAGATACTTTGTGATCATCTAGCATTGTGCTGCTCACAGTGGCTGATTTTGGCTCACACCAAAGCAGCCCCATGTATTCTGTGGGAGGCGTGGAAGCGGGGATCCCTGCCCCAGAGGCTGGTAGGGCAGCCCAGGGCTAGGTAGTCAGTCTCAGGTAGTCTGCTGTTTGCAACCTCACGGCTCTGCTTGAGCAGAGGACACTGTGTGCTTCCTGGGAAACTGTCCCTTCTGCCTGAAGCACACAGTTCATAAAAGTTAAGGATGTTCCTCTCTTTTTAACTCCAGAAAAGCCTGTGGGCTCAGCGGAATACCACAACCATGTTCTGGCACACAGCAGGATGCAGTCCTGGGAGGTACCCTTGGGTGACTTCTGATCAGAGCCCCAGGGCAACTCCTAGCCTCTAAGGCCTGACCACCAAGCACCTACACATGAGGCACTGCCCACTGTGGGCACCTGTGGCAAACATGGAATACCAAGACTGGCCCCTGAGGGCTCATTCAAAGCTTGTTCAAGGAATGAAAACTATTAATCTGTATTAGGCCTTGAGGATTAAAAAGAGGGAAAAGAGACCTATTGGTATCTCCCTACACCAAAATCCAACTCAAGGAAAATCTTTAGCCCCCAATAAATGCCCCTGCTTTTAGTAAAAATTATTGTCTGCTTTGGATTAGTCATGTCATACCTGACCTGCTATCAGTGACCCTGGATTGTCCCCTACTCCTCTCCCTCCCTGGACAGATAAAGGAATCATCTCTTTATTGCTCAGAGAGCTGTCAGTCAGCAGGTGGGTCTGAGAGCTTCTCAACATGGCAGTGGAGATGTTTCCCTGAATCTGAAATAATTTACAAACAGTGAAACTGCTGTGACTTCCCCTGCCCTCAAAGCGCCACCTGTTCTTTGGCAACTACTTGGCTCAATGTTATGGAGCCTTTTCAAAATAAAAAATGACCATGGCCGAGGGGCGAGCCTTAGTGATGTCATGGTCCAGGGAAAGTGCAGCTTCAAATGCTGTCCCCGCCCAGCGCACCAACAGGCCTCACGGCCCTGGCACAGACGCCAACGGCTGTTGCTAATCCAGCACAGGACTGCTTTTTCTAAGTCCATGACATACATTAAGGACCTGAAAATGCAGACGGTTTTGTTATTGCACTGAGTGCCCTGTTTACCTGACTCGCTTAAGCTTTTATGTTTTATGGTCCAAATGCGCTGACTGGTATGTATGCAGGTTTATGTAAAACGAAGTGCAAACCTGGTGCTGGGGTTGCCAGATAGGTCGGAGTTGCCAGGTTCCTGAGGGCCAGGGCAGGAGGGGCTCCATGTTTGGTGTGGACTGCTTATTTCCAGGTCACAAAATGATGCCCTCTGCCTTTCCTTCAAGCCCTCGAGTCTACTCCTCACCCATCTTTCTGGACTGGGCTCTAAGGCCTCCTGCAGAGTCTGGCCCATGCACTTCTCTCCCAACAAGCATGCCTTGTACTTTCCCTGCTCCCTCTTGAGTTTTCAATCATAGTTGTGGCTGTGGCTACTGAAAATGGTCCTCTTACCTACCTCTACTTATTAAAATGTGCTTCTCCCTTCAGACTCCTCCACGAGGCCTCCCACAATCTCCACACACCTCACTGCTCTTCCTCCTCTGATGTGCAGTGGCAGCTGCCCGAGGCCTGTCTCTGGGAATTATGATCTATCTACTGTCTGGACTGCAGTGGAGTATGTGCCTGCCCCAGGTTTAGAGTGGACAGCAGGGCACACGCAACACAAGCAGGCTCAGCCCCAGGCTGGCTGTGACTCGAGGGAAAGGGGCCTATGAAGGTGTCATTGTTATTTAAGCATCTTCAAAATAAGCCCTTGTTTTCCATTCTCAATGAAACAAACGTGAGTAGTGTGTAAGGATGAAGATAACAACACTGAGCTGTCATTCTATTTGCTACATCATTAAGCCTGCTGACTGGCACTTTAGGGAGCCAGGAACAAAAGGTACCATGGGCAAGTGAAGGGCCCAAGTCACCAGCACTCACGTGGCTGGCGTTTCTGTTAAGAAAAATCCCAGGTGGCCATGTTCTGGGGCCCACTGGACGACATCTGCTCCCTGGGCCATGCGCTGGGTGTAGGGGCTGAGTTACATATTTCTTTCTCCGTTAGCGCTTACTTCTCAATTAATACTTGTTGATAAATGAATTCCTCTTTATTCATAGAGTCCGTACAAATACAGGTACCTTCATATAGGCAATGTTACTAGAGAAATAAAAGTTGAATCGACACAAAGAGCAAGTCCCACCATAATTCTCCACAGGATGATGGGTGTTATCCAGGCTGCATGTTCACACTGTCTGATTCCAACAACCAACACAGAGATGAAATGGAAGCAAACAGGAGCAAGAAAACATCCAGGGTGTTGGAATCACCACATCTGCCTCGCTCTATTCAGGGTCACAACCGTTTCATGATCTTGTAGTTGACAGATGGCATTTTTTAAAAAAAAACATGAGTGACGCACGATGATGGGAGGGGAATGTTCAGGAGGCCTTGGCTTTCACCTTGGACAGCAGCACCTCGTTCTTGCGGCCCTCCTGGAGGGGAAGCAGAGAGTGGTGACTACATTAGCACCCACGTGAGACCCAGGTGGTCTCACTGTCTGTTCCCTGGTCCTTCTGACCACCTAACCCCACCTCCTAGCAGGCCCCACCACAGTGAAATGTCTTTGTGCTGTGCTGACCTCCAATACCAAAATAGCTAAAATGATGCTTGATTTCTGGACTGTTCAGACTGAGAGGATTGGGTACTATCATCCCAAAGATGTCATGATGTCTCAAACATCTTAAGGGGACAGAAGCAGAAAGCAGAGACAGAGTGTAGGAGTTTAGATAAAAGGCATCCCTAAGTTTACACAGCAGGCAGAAGACACCGAAACGGTTTTTTTTTAAGGTGTTACCAGTGTTGGTTTTTTAAAATGTATTTTTTTAATTTATTTTTTTCTTCATTGTTGTCCCCATAGTTCTCCTGCCACCATGTCACTCGTGAGCCATCACCATATCCCGTGTTCATCCCGCCCCTGTTTTGCTCCCCCTCCTTTGCTGCATGCCTCCGTTCTATGGTCAGCTTGCTAGTTTTGACGTTTTCTTGATCTTCTGTTTGGCTTCTCTATCTTCCACATATAAGTGAGACCATCTGAGACACAGCAGTGGAAGTTGAGAATATCCTTAGCTTTCAGAAAGAAACTCAGAACTGGGATGAGAGGCAGTCCTCAAAGATACATCTATCTCCACTTCCCCCTTAAAAATGAAGTGTATAAAATCTGTCACTCAGTGCTGAGGGAGATGATGAGGGAGGTCACAGGTCCCACCCTCTGCCTGGGGAATCTGACCTCAGGCAGCTTGAAGTCACCTCTGCATTATTTTGCATTCCTTCTTCAGACATCTTCAAAGACTTTGCTGTGCCTCCTCTGCCCCTTCGTCCCCACAGCCTGGAGAGCTGAGTATACATACTCATACCTGCTAGCACAAATCTCCACCCCTTCCCTGGGCCATGTTACAAGGAACCCTGCTTTAAACTGGGAGGTGACTGTGGTAGTATGAAAGACCTGGAAGGTAGAGCTGAGGGCGCAGGCCTTCAGCATCCCTGCTTCCCTGGAGGTCTACTTACTGTGCAAGAAAAAATCTTTCACCTTTGAGCCCTCGATACCCAACATCCCAGAGTCACACTTTTCATCTCTCTGGGCCTGGCTAGGTGCGCCTCACTCTCTGAGGCCCCTTGTTTTCTGTGGTTCATGGCTGCAATGGTCCTGATTTTACTAGACAGGTGCAATTTACACTTATCTTCCGCTAAGAGATGGGGACCAGCAAGGCTCTTGAGTCGGGAAGACTGAATTCTGTCAGAAGCAAGGTACTCTGACACTTTTTAAGCACATGTTTTTGGAGGACAGAAGCAATTTTCTCTTGGGGGTGGGAAGAGAATGAAGGGCAAGTTGAGTAACATTTGTCCTATTAGGAAAGTTAAGAAAAATTTCCTTTTTACAATTATTGAGAAATGCTTGCTGGGAGGAACCTTCAGTCTCCACTTATTCCCCCAAAGTGGGGAAGGGCAGAGGCAGAACAAACACAGGCAGAGAGTGATACTATAATACTGCTATGCTACTTTCCCTACTTCTGTGTGTTTTTGAATGTTCACACAGAAAGATGAAATAATAAATAGGTTTCAATTGTTTCACCTCTTCCCTTTTAATGAGGCAAAAAAACCTGAGAAGCATCAAAACACTCCTGCAGCAGAGAGCCCCCACCAGAGCAAAGTCTCACACCTACTGAGTTGATGCTTGAATTTTTCAAGACATTCTAAGCTGTCACCTGGTGTGTGCAAGTGCTCATTAAATTTCATGTGATCTACTAGAAGCTTTTGGGAGACTACAGAATGATACTCTGTTCAAAGCAAATACAAGGAGTCCTTTAGGACTTAGATGGCAATTATGAAGCTGGGGCCCCACAGCCCTGTTTCACTTATAGGGAGTTCAGCTCACTCGAGGTGATGTACCCAAAGTGAGCTTCATAAAAATGTATGGTTTGCATCCATCAGTACTTGGCTAGAATTTAAATCTGGGTGATCCTGTAAGAGACAGTGGTTTAGAGACGCTGTTAATTAATGTACTAGTGTGATTCAGAGTCTATGGTTGTTTCCTGGCTGACTTGTTATTAGCAAACTTTTTGGGGAAGGAAGCCAGTGCAACTTGAGAGATAACCTAATGTCCCAGTTCAAAGAAATCTTGATATCAGAGGAGGCTGGAAGCCAAAATGAGGGCATGACTTGGTTCTACATGGAGACCATAGACATTGGCGGTGCTCAATTAATGTAAGCCAAACCCAGCAAAGGGAACTATTAGGGTGACCAAAGGCCGTGTTCTGGATAAAGATACTGTGCTCTGCATGAAGAATAATCATTGCCCAGCACAACTGCTAGGGACCAGGCTGTGATGAGAATATAGAACTCAGGAGGAGACCAAGCAGGTGGGGAGACAGGTAAAGGGGGAAGAACAGAGAGGGTTATAGGTGGACACTCTACCCTGGGATGAACGTTCTCATTTTTCAAACTGTTTTTCTACTATAAATAAGATCTCACCTGCAACTGCAGTATACGAAACAGCAGAATTACTTTGGCTGAAAACTAGGGTAGAGACTGGGAGCAGCAAGCAAGCCCACCATTACACCAACTCCCCAATACCTGTGGTAACCTCAAGTAACTTGAGCTTATGGAAGAAAGGCTGAGCTTCTGGGATGCTGATAATGGTTGCTAATTTAAATTTCTGAATAAGTGAATTTTTTTTTTTTTTGAAAAAAGGACTACTCATCATCCACATTATCTTAATAGAGGCTATTTTAAGATACAACAAGCCATGCAAGTTCTTAAGAAGGTGATTCCCTTAAGTGAAACGAACTTGGCATGTCTTACATGGCCCCTCAGTGTTACTGTGACTTGCTTGGGCAAGCAACAGGGTTCTAGCTGGCTCTGAAGGACCCACCCTTGGTCTTAGTTGTGACAGCAACTGTGCCTTACGGTTGGGAACACAGAAATCTTGACACTTAGCACATCTAAAGGAACTGTTTCCTCTGGAGATCATTCCAGGCCTTCCACCCCCAGAGCCTGTAGTGCAAGAATGAGCATTTCAATTTTGTTTTTATTTGCTATGATTGTGACAGCTTATATTTATCCTTCCAACTTATTTGCTTTGTGTTTTTGCTATCAACAGGGCAGTGCCGCTGTGTCCAAGCAAGTTCGGAAATGTAATCCCTTTCCTCTGGGTCTTTTCTCTCTGTGAGTTATTTACACTAAATGGAGGAATAAAGTCTGATTGGGAACAGTGGGTCTTTACTTGTCCCGGCCAGCTCACTCACTGACCCTCTGAAATTTCAGCCCCAAACCCTGACAGCCACCAGGGGCTCCTGGAAGCAGGGCAGCTGCTCCCCGGGTGCTCATGCCCAACCTGCGCTCCTGCCTGGCTGCCACAGTCTGTTCATGTTCTCCCCATGGCCAAGTTCTCTCCTTCTCTGACTAAGTTAGTCCCTGCAAGGCAAAAATCTGAAGTTTCTTATTTGTTATTAATTACTAGGGTTTCTGTTTGGTTTTGTTTTCCAGCTTGTTGTTGTCTTCCCCACCAAATGCAAGTTGCGAAACACAGGAACCAATTTGTGTTAGCACCTCATATATCCCTGGCAACATGGTAGAAACAGGAAGAACACTTATTGAAAGGATGACAGATTTCAAAAAGCCCAAAGGTGGTGAATCCTCAAATTTAAATTACAAAAACAGGGAAGAAGCAATAGTGGAGGGAAAGGAAAAACTTAAGAAGGCATGAAGGAAAAGAGAAGAAAAGTCTTAAAAAATATTCAAGCTGCCCGCAGCCTCTGAGGAGCCAGTTCGATCCCCGTCTGCTCCCCGGCCCCGGAGGAGGGTCCCACATGGCGCGCAGACCTCTCCTGCTGCCCGCTGCTCCCCTCAGCAGTGTACTTCGGTCCTTCTGCCTGCTCTGCTGCCCGCTCTGGCGCTGGTGAATTCTCTCACCCTCCCGCGCTTCTGACTGTACCCAGTGCTTGTATAAATAAATAAATCTTTAAAAAAAATTTTTTTTAATAAATAAAAAAAAAAAAGAATGAAATTATTAGTATGGTAAGAATATATGTTTTATTCTATAGACTGAACACTGGGACATAACCTAGCTTTAGTTCCCCTATACTTTCAGCAATCTCTACACTCACTTAGAGAGAAGGAATTCCTGAAATTATAAAGCTGCTGAGATCCAGGGAAGTGGAAGAATAAAGTCTTCCTTCTGGAAAATCTGTTGAGAGCAAACACTTTTCTGTTTCTTTTCTTTTTTTAAAGATTTATTTATTTATTTATACAAGCACTGGGTACAGTCAGAAGCGCGGGAGGGTGAGAGAATTCACCAGAGCCAGAGCGGGGAGCAGAGCAGGCAGAAGGACCGAAGTACACTGCTGAGGGGAGCAGCGGGCGGCAGGAGAGGTCTGCGCGCCATGCGGGACCCTCCTCTGGTGGCCGGGGAGCAGCCGGGGATCGAACCGGCGCTGCAGAGGCTGCGGGCAGCTTCGCAACCCAGCGCTCAACCGCTGTGCCACCGGGGAGGCCCAAGAGAGCAAACACTTTTCTTTCTGGAACAATGGAAAATAACCCTGCCCAAATGCAGGGAGGAAAAAGAACGGGACAAATACAATTCAGTTGAGCGTTGGGTGTTACAGGTGCCAGATACGAACTGAAGCTTTCATCCCTAATCTGCACTCACTAACGAGGTTTGCAGGGATGAGGCCAGCTGCTCTGTGCACGGCTGCTCAGTGGTAAAAGAAAGATTCAAACTCATGCCCGCCACACACAAAGCTCCTTCTCTTCCCACATAGCTAAGATTGGGGGAAGACAATTTCTAGGTCTGCATCCATAACAAATGCTATCTCCTATAGGAGGCTCCTGATGTGGCTGCTGGTGCCATGTTTTTTTGTGAGTTTAACGTGCTTACTAAGTGTTAGGGAACTGGAAAATAAAAGAAGCGATGCCTCTTAGAACATTCAACTAGGGCCTCAAAATGGACCAGAGAACGATGCAGTCTTGAACCATCCACGCGCCATACCTTGCTGTCAGATCACACTGCCAACTTGCTCTTTCCCATTACAGAGCAGCGGGAAACCAAAGAATGCGTTGGTGTTAAGAGGATCGCCTCGAGGTGAACTTAAATCTCACCTGAACCCTCCAAGCCCAGGCCACCCACCCTTCCTCTTACCTCCTTGAACTCTTTCACAGTCTTAAAGTACAGCCTCTGTTTTTCTAACAATTCCAAGTACTGGTCATTCAACTGGTCTCTTCTCATTTTGTTCTCTTGCTTCTTCTTTTCCATCTGTTGAAACATTTAGAAAGGCATGTCTGACCCAGAACTGCCGGCCATATCCAAAGTGCAACTATTAGTAATGTTTTCATGGATTCTTCCTAATATTTTCATTCTAAACATCATTTTTGACATTGGTTTATTTTCTTGCATGATACTGCTCTGAGGCTCTATAATTTATTCAGTAATTCTATTATCAGACCTTAACTGAGCTATTTATTTTTTTGTGACTACAAGCAATTTCATAACACAAGGGTTGGTGGTTCTCAACCACAGGCTATTTTGCCTGCCAGGTACACTTGACAATGTCTGGAGAGTTTAGCTTGGCATAGCTGTGAGGAGGGACAGCTTCTGGTGTCTTCTGTAGAGCCCAGTGATGCTGCTAAATATCCTATAATGCACAGGACCGCCCTGTTCAAGAAATTATCTGCTCCAAAATGTTATCTGTGTTGAGATTAAGAAACTCTAATAAATAACTGAGATCATACTATAAAATTGTGTATCCGTTTTCATTTAACAAAACTATTTCCATGTTACTATCAACTTTCTACAATTAAAATTTAAAAAATACAACAATTTTCCTGATGATCATTGATTACCCATTTTTTTTTTTTTCTCTTGGTGGGCAAGTCAGATTGTCTCCAGGATTGTGATATCATAATTAAAGGCTAGACTTTGATTAAAGAGACTTTTTCTATGGTACCTAGAGCTTATTCATTTACCAAGTCTTAAGTGAATACCCTAAATTCTAAAAGCAGTGGTGATAAGGCCAGGTCACTGCTCCCAGCATGCACATTCTGGAGAGACCGGCACTCACCAAATACCCCACACAAAGAACGACACTTAAAATCCCCAGCAGTGATTGGGACTGTGAAGACAATGGACAAGGTGAAGCGACAGAGAGGAAGGTGGGGATATGACCCCTGCAGACTGGATGGTCAGGGAGGGCTCTCTGAAGAGGTGGCATTTGGGCAGAGTGGGTGGTGGTATGCAATTTATTTGCAGAGGGTCAGTTACAGCATGGCCCAGTGAGGGCAGAGTCAAGGTGCTGAGCAGGTGCCTAGTTCGAGGCAGGTGCTCAGGAGCATGTAGAATGAAGTCATAAGTACTACCTTACTGTGGCCTCACAGGTCTCTGCTGCCTAAATATTGTTTTTGAGTTACACTTTGGAAAGGAATTCACAGTAAACCCAAGTTAAATTTGAAGTGGATATGCGTTACTCAGTAGTAGTCTCCCTTCACACCACACCTTGGGTATCTGCAATCTAGGGGTCTTAGATGTCCCTAAGACCTTTTCCAATCTTGTTCAGAGGAAAGGCCACCCCAGACTGGGATGTGTCTGGTTCAATATTAACCTTGTGCCCAGCTTTTGAGTCCACTGGTGATCCTGCGTTCTCTTTGCACAGGTCTGCACAGGGCCAGCTGCCCAGAGTCTGTGCTGAGGGCTTGAGTTTACTGATACTGTCTTGTGCTTAGGTCTTCCCAAAATGGGCAGGCTCCTCTGCAGAACCGGGTTAATGGCCCCCAACACTCAGTTCTACAGGGACCAGGAACACATTCCCAGAACAGCCAGGAGAGGCCTGCTCTTCCAGGGCCTATACACAGCAAGTCATGTTACAGGAAAGAACCCATCTGACCTTCATTCTGCTTTGTTTAATTCCTTCTACAATCTGTTCCATCTGACGTAAAAACTGGTCCCGGGCAGCAGGGGAGGCCATGGCTCTGAAAGAAAAACCAGGAGAGGTAAGACCAGCACACAGCACTGTAAGAAGAGTGAGGCACCTGAACCCAGAGGATGCCCCAAGAAGCAAACAGGTCTTTGCAAGGCAGCTGACCCTTGGGGGCCCCTGGGACCCCAGGCAGGTTAAGAATTCTGAACTGCAAGAAAGGCATGAAAATTGGCTTAGTCTTACAATTGACTAATTGTATATTAATCTCTTTTGAATATTAATCTTTTTTCCCATTTTCCTACAATTTTTTAAGTAATATATTTATTTTTTCTAAAAGTAAGATAAAATGTTACTACTATGAAAAAATATTTTCTGCTTTGAATGATAGATAGCACATACTGATTTAAAAATGAATTCCATTTAGTTTTTAAAAATCTGAGAATTTGGAGAAACTGGAAGACACTCTCACATTTTCCTAAAAACCAGGGCTAGGCAGCCCGGTCCTGTTTCTAGAAGCAGTAGCTAAATGAGTGGACTCCCTGACATCCTAACACATTCCCCTCCACTACCAGCCCTGCAGGGGGAGTGACAGCAGAGGACCAGAGCTCACGGGTGTGAAGGCTGAGAATTCTTCCAGAGGATGAGCTGATGGAGAACAGAATTCACCACAAAACATTCAAGCTGCAGATTCTCAATTATCAGGGGATAAAGATGAAAGCACCATTTTTTAAGAAATGTCACAAGGTCATAAGTCACTAATTGAATCTGAATCTTATCAGGGAGCTGTGGGGGTTTTGTTTGTTTTCAATTAGAAATGAAGCTTAAAATTTATATCCTGCCACTTTACTGAACTGATTGATGAGTTGAATTAGCTTTTCTGTGGAGTTTTTGGGGTTCTCTATGTATAATATCATATCATCTGCAAATAGTGATAGTTTGACTTCTTCTTTTCCTATTTGGATTCCTTGGATGTCTTTCTCTTGTCTTATTGCCCTGGCTAGGACTTCCAGTATTATATTGAAAAGCAGTGGTGAGAGTGGACATCCTTGTCTTGTTCCAGATCTTAATGGAATTGCTTTCAGCTTTTCACCATTGAGAATGATACTGGCTGTTGGCTTGTCATAGATGGCCTTTATGATGTTGAGGTATGTTCCTTGTATCCCAAGAATTTCAAGGGCTTTTATCATGAATGGGTGTTGCACTTTGTCGAAAGCTTTCTCAGCATCTATTGATATTATCATATGGTTTTTATATTTCTTTTTGTTGATGTGTTGGATAACGTTGATTGATTTTCGGATGTTAAACCATCCTTGTGCCCCTGGAATGAATCCTACTTGGTCGTGGTGAATTATCTTATGGATACATTGTTGGATTCTGATAAAGCCTGTAATCCAGTAAAATCTTAATCATTGGTCACCTGCCAGGGGACAGTTGACATTTTTGCTGGAAAGGAAGCTGGCCATAAACACAAGGAGCAAGGCTGGTACTGCCTGGACAGTGGGTAGGCCGGTGAGCAAGCCAAAGGCCTGGAAGGACTGGGGTACAGAGGGTCTTGCCACCCAAGTTTTGGAGAAAAAAAAATTCATATCTGAATAAAGCAGTTTGGAGGATGCACATTAATGTAAGAACAAAATGTCCTGCAAGGTTTTATCTTTTATTTATTTATTTATTTTTTTAGAGGCATGTTTTATTTATTTATTTATTTGTTTGTTTTGTTTATACATGCACTGGGTACAGTCAGAAGCCTGGGAGGGTGAGGGAATTCACCAGAGCCAGAGCAGGGAGCAGAGCAGGCAGAAGGACCGAAATACACTGCTGAGGGGAGCAGCGGGCGGCAGGAGAGGTCTGCGCGCCATGTGGGACCCTCCGGTGGCAGGGGAGCAGCCGGGGATCGAACCGGTGCCACAGAGGCCATGGGCAGCCTCGCAACCCAGCACTCAAACGCTGCGCCACCGGGGAAGCCCTCCTGCAAGGTTTTAAAGAATCTTTTTTAAAAATTCTTTTTAAAAGAATTTTATAGATTTCACTTTGAAAATCTGTATGTGCTCAAAACAAAGGGCATTAATCTAATCTCAGCAAGAAAAAAATATACAAAGAGATCACAGTAGTTTGGCAGAGCCACAGTACGTGAAAGTTAACTTTCTAGATGCTCTAAAATTCACTCCAATAATCATTGTTTTTTTTTGCAAGAGTGCAAGGCTCGTGTAAAATAAGGTATGGCTGTACTTGCAGTGGGGGTAAAAGTGCTTGACATGCTCAGCACTCAGTTATTCTTGCTCGACCCCATACTACAGTATGAAGGCTGGACAAAGGGGCAAGGTGCATGGAGGGACTGACAGCCAGCCAGGAGGACTGACAGTACTTACTGTGAGAAGTTCTCATGGATTGAGTTCAGCAGGCTAATCTGGGGAAGAAAGAAGAAACAAAACTCTAAGACGGAAGGTCCCTTTGCTATCTAAACCACTCAAAACCTGTCTTCTGAAAGGAGCACATCTTGTCTGTGCAGATGAAAGTTAACATAAAAAAAAAGCAACATGTTCTTAGTCCCATAGATTTTCCCAGAGTATCTACTGCTTACCCATGACACTAGGAATGGGGGAAAAGGGCTCCTTGAGGGATCCAAACCCTGCCGGAAGATTCTAGGCTATTGGGGCAAGCTGCTACCTCAGCCATCTCCACCATGCCAAACACTGCACTTTTTTTCAGGGCTATCAGCTTAGCAGAAGGTGAGTAGGGTAGGGAGCAAGAATATCATGTTCTCTCTGTTCCCTTCCGCAAATCTTTCTGCCAAAGTGGCCAATGGCTGGGCAGCTCCGAGAACCTCCCCAGGAATGCATTATTCCATGCCTCCATTTCCATGGAACCCAGCTTAGCCTGCACTGCAGGACCCCCCATCTGTCTCGGTGATACAGTCTAGGCAGGGATCCAAGTTAGGAATTTAGAAACCTAGGCCCTCTTTCTGGCTGTGTCACTAATTCACCTTGTAAGCACAGGACCTCTATACTTGGACCTCAGATTCAGACTGTAACAGGGAAATGATATTCTTCTCTTTGTGACACTAAACAGATGTTTAAAAGCTGAAATATTATCAGCAAAAATGGACTTGGAATAAAACATACAATTTATTCAAGCGCCAAGTTCTGTGTTAATATGGCTTAGAATTTAAAAGCCTCCACTCCCATACACTACTAGTTTTTAAAAGAATGCAATGACTTTATTTTTTTATTTTTATTTTATATATTTATTACACCATTTTTCATTTTTGCATAATATATGCCTTTTCATCTTGGTTATAATCTCCATACAATTCCCACCACCCTTGTTTTGATCCTACTCCCTTTTCTCCCCCCTTGTAGTATGTCTGGTTTATAGTTCTTGTTGATTTTGATTTTTACTTCATTATAATTTGTCTTTTTCCTGGTCCCTTACTTAGGTTTTCTAAATTCCTGCTATAAGTGAGACCATCTGGTATTTTTCTTTTTCTTTCTGGCTTATTTCACTGAGCATGATCCCTTCCAGCTCCATCCATGTTGCTGCAAATTAGAAAGCAGTGACTTTAAACACTGCTGATGAAGGAAGGTGGATCGGCTGGCAAGTCTTCTACTCTCCAGGTAGGAAGACCCCAAGCCAGGACATGGACTAGAACTATCCCCCCAAGTCTGATTTAAATTCTACCAAATACATTCAACTCACTTATCAAATGCTCTGTAAATGTCCATCACTGCATAAAGCTCAGGATACAGAAAAAAAAAAGGAACTCAATTCTTCTTCTATGACGAAAGAGATTTCTCTGGTTTAACTGACAACAGGCAATAAAGGTGACAATAATTACAGATGCCTCTATTTGGGTTCAGGTAAAAGATACATCTGTAATATTGCTCTTAATTAAAGTGGTAGGTAGTGCAGGTTGCAAGGTGATAAAAACAAATTCTGTCAACCTCAAGGTGAGGGGGTAGGCAGGGACTTGTATGTGCTGAGAACCACCACCTTGCAAGGAACTTCGCTGTCTCCGCTATAATCCCGTGGAGCAGATGTTAAGCTCATTTTACAGATGAGGAAAATTAAGGCCAGACTAAAGCCCAAACCTGTCTGACTCCAAAGTTCAATCTCTCTCCACTATACTGAGCTACTCTTTGAAGACCAGGATTATTTTGTTTTGTTTTTTGTAAACATAATTGCACACCCTCCCTAATCATTTCTCGGCCAACTTGGGGGGAGTCCTGAATCATGAATGGAGCTAACCTGAGTGACAGCCAGAGCAATACATAGGCACGTCAGTGCCCATGTTCACCTTTTTTCACTCCTGCATTGAATTTTACATTTCCTTTAGTTCAGACCCATGTTGGTCACTCATAGTTAAATAGCTACTTCCCCCATATAAACTATTAGAACCACAATCCTTATTTCATTGAGCTGGTGCTTGCCTTCCTTTAGAACTCAAACTCGTTTCACCAACTCCAGGAGCGCCCCCCCGACCCCACCCCAAGCACCTCTTGATCTTCACTAAGTATTTTTTAATGAAAGCATTACTCACATGGCACCAGGAAACAGCTACCCACCCCATACCAAGGGTGCTCCCATTAAGTCTTGTACTTTCTGATTTTTATCTCAGCACTAGGCAAACAACAGGCACGCCTTTCACTTGAAGTGAATGGATTCCAGATGTAAAATTTCAGGGTCAACAGCACTGACTGGTAAGTGTTCATCTGATTCTCTCTCTCCCTTTTTTTTTTAACAAAGGCTCTTACCTCTTTTTCCAAATACACCTTCTTATCATCCAGGGTATTATATAAAGTGAAGAACTGCTTGGTTTCTTTGTGTACTGCTGAAACTGTAAATGCAAGGGCATCAGCACATGAATAAGAAAATATATGAAAAGCACCCTAAGCATGCTCGCCCCTTGAGGTGCCCCAGAAGGACTGGACCTAGACCCACCCATGGGCTGGCACTCACTTGCTGTCTGTGTGGAAGCCCAACAGCGCACATGGTTGTGCAGAGCTGCTGTGGCCAGGACTGACCAGACCAGTCACAGTGTGGGACAGGTGGGTTTCTCAAAGTACTTTAGGTAGGTGTGCAGGGAAAATGGCATCGATGAGGAAGCCACCACGCCACTCGTCCTGTTAGTGTGGCTTCTCCCAACCAACCCCCGCCCCATGGGAGCAGGAACTCCGTCTGTCCACTTTTATAAACCATGTGCTTAGCACAGGCCCATCAATTAGGTCCTCCAAAGTATCTCCTGGACAAATGATGGTCTATTGCAGCACAGAATAAAAGCCTAATATATGTGAATTTTCCTGTGCATGTAAGGGGGGACTTTACTTACCAAGGATCCCAACAGCTTTACCTATAAAATTACTCTGCATTTCTACCTCTCCTTCTTCCCTCTTCCCTCCAGAATGGCTTATGAACAAAAAGCCAATTCTACACTTGTGAGTGCAATATTCACCAGAAAATAAGTACTGGGGTAGAGGGTTCTAACCCAAACAGACCCCTTCTGTGACTCTCTTATTGCTCTGAATTCCCATAATGTATAGTCATCCAGAGAAAAATAAAATCCAAAGACCTTGATTCATAATCAGGCTTTGAGTCTGTGCCCAGTGCTCCAATTTAGCTCTCGCTAAAAGAATCCTGCTGCCGAACAATTATCAGGCACTGGTCAAGACTGGTGGGGTTGGTATCCTACTGGCTCTTGTTCCCTGAGTACAGGTGCTTCTGGAGGATCATGGGTGGGGTAGGAGAGGCAGAGCAGGACACAGGCTTACCCCACTTCTGCTTTCTTTGAACTACGGTCATTAACATTTACATCTGATTCTTTAAACCAAACTTTCAACTTTACTACCCAGTTAATAGCCATGTCTCTCTAGCTGTGCAGTTCAAAGATGGGTTTGGGTTGGGGACATTTGCTGTACATATTTGGAAATAGAAGAATCTGATACAAGTATTTTGTAGCTTAAAAATGTCCCCAATATCAAAATGTCTAATTTGTATGAAAATCATTTAATGAACTACTCAATGTAAAGTATTATTATTATGTTATAAGCATTAGAACAAGGGTGCCCTGTATGAAAGAGAGAATTAACTGGGGAGCTTTTAAAGTCTCATGACCAATTATGTACGATATTTTGGAAGTGGGATTTGGATGATTATAATGGGTAACCAAAGTTGAAAATCACTGCCATAAATAAAAGTTAACTTTTGCTTCACTGCCCAGGAATGTGTCTGTCACCCTTACCCCACTCAGCTCAAGGACTGGATGAGAGAAGCAGATATTTGTTGATAATAAAAAATGATACTGCTGTTTTGGTGCAAGTGCTTGAAAATGCCTGGTATAAAAATAGTCTATCAAAATGACTTTACCCTATATGAAATTTGCTCTGAGAAATACACAGATGAAAAGTATTAAAATGTTACAAGTTAGGTAGGCAGAAGAAACTTAAGGTTTCTGCTGAGAAACTGCCATTGTTGACATCTGTTCCTCAGGATTTAAATCAAATGTGAGACCTGTATAAAACATCAGGATGGTGGGTGATACATAAAAGGAAGCTGGATTGTGGGCTCTGGTAAGGACAGTGCTCCAGCTTGAACTAGGAAGAATGCCTGCGAGGCCAAGATTTCAAGGCAAAATCTGAGTTGATTTTAGGAAAGGAGTTGTGTTTTGCCAAGTGCAGGGCAGTGGCATGCTAGGCCAGCTCACAGGAGAGCACCAACTAATGCAGGGGAAGTTGCAACTGAAGCTGATCCAGATGATACAGGACATTGCACATTTATGATTCTGAAGATAATCCAACAGGTTATGGGAAGCTATTAAATATTTAAGATTTTAAGGTAACAGAGTAGGATGACCAAGTATATGTTTAAAAAGGCCATCTCAGGCAAGAGTGCAGAGAAGGGGTTACACTCTGGGCATGATGCGAAGGTGGCTGCAGCAGTAGTCCAGAAGAAACAAACTTGACTATTGCTCAGAAACAGAACTGGAGTCAGAGACTCCAGCAGAGTCAGAGAAGACTAAGTGGGATCCAGCTCAGCCAGACAGTGATCCTAGTGACCAAGAGGCAAATGGGTTAGGGAGTCTAAATTCAGTGCTTTCTTTCTGTGTCTGAGACATCCAGGGGATGGCAAAGAATGGGATCCTAGAAGAAGGAGGGATGGTCCAGCACTTGTTTATAGAGGATATCTGAGCTGGGTTTTCAGGGATTTTGTCTGGCAGGGAAGGGATCCTAGGCACAACTTAAGAGGAGATGTCAAGGCACAAGAAGTCAAAGTGCATGGTGTGTTTACAGGTAGTGTGTGGATGGTGAGACCAGAGCATGTGCTCAAAGCAGGAAAGGGAGTTCCAGGGAGGCAACTTAGGATACTGGGCATAATGAGAGAGGTTTACTCAGTAGGCCCTGTGGAGCTCCTGAAGAGTTGCCAGCAGAGAGAGGTGTGTGTGGATGAGGGGTTTGGAGAAGGGACTGCAATAGACTACTGAATTGAGCTGTGACATGAGTAAGAACAGATATGGTGGTAGCATTGGGAACAGAACAATGACAGCTTTGAGGTACACTCAGAGCCTGACCCAACAAGCAGAGGGGGAAGCCAGGGGGAAGCCAGTCCTAGATTAACTGGGTCAATACAAAGCTGATAAAGGTAGGGGCCATGGCAGCAAGATGTTTGTAGAGAAGACAAATGAGTGAGGACTGATCGAGGATGTCGAGGTCATGATGTCCCATGTGAGGCTACAAAGTGGATGGGGAGCTCAGTGGTGTCAAATGGCTGAGTGGGATGAGGGCTGGCTTCAAACATTACTCTCAGAGCTCATTTTGCTTACACAATCTCCATGGAAAGGGCACTGAGATCACCATGGTGCTGCTCCCAGGGCTGTGGGTCATCTACCAGCAGGCTCTGTGGCATGAGCACCGAGAGGGCCCAATGATAACGAAGCCCTTTCTGGGTGGCTTTCAGGCATGTGCTATGGTATCCGCCCACCACAATAAAGTGGGACAGAGCCCCTCGCTTCCTGACCCTCCCTGGGCCAGCCTGGAGAGCTTGTTTGTGGTCAAAGCACCTACTCTGGCGGTAGAGTTCAATAAATCTCTTCTGATACTGTATTAGCTCGGCTCTGCTGGGCACTTCATCAATCTTGCGATGCAAAATTGCGATTTCTCGATTTCTTCGAGCCTAAATGCAAAAGGGAAGCGGAGACAACACTACTTGGTAAAAGGCCTCACGGTTCTTTCTCGGGAGTCTAATAGTACCCTCCCACCCCAACTGAGCCTAAACACATGTGCTGGAATACAGGCACAAAATTCTGTTGACTTGAGGTCCGTGTGATTCTGACTTTCACTTTGCAGCAGATGGAGAAGGTGTGGTGGTGAACAAAAGGCATCAAATTAAAGGATCCAGAAGGAAGGTTCTGAATGGGAAGGGCTTTTATGCACAGAGCCCCCAGTCAGCTCACTAGACCCCCAAGAACTCTGCAGTAGACAATCCACCAAAGCCAGGCGGGAACAGGCGAGGAAAGGTCAACAGGAACTGATGACGCCACCCTGCTCCCTCCATACACATTCCAAGTTCCTCAGCATGGCTGAAAAGCCCCCACAGCTGACTCCTAAAATACCTTTGCAGCATCTTTACCCTACCATGAACCGGGGGTATACCTGCCCTACTCACTGCTTCAGGGGAGGCGCAGAGAGATAGCAGCGGCTGAGGTGGGCGGGGGCTCAGCTCACACACTGCTCCCTCCACACACTGGCCTCAGCACTGCCTTCCTTCTTGCTGCCCCACGTTCCCACTCTACCGAGCTGCTGGCCTCATAACAGCAGGTGCGGGTCTCTACTTCATCCCGAAATACAAGCCTCCAGGACGGAAATCTACTACAATTCTTGCAACCAAACCAACACAGGGACTCTGCACCTCTGGCTAGAGGCAAAGATGTCTTTCTCCTTTCAGCCAAGGCTAAGGCTACACTCCCCAAGGGCGCTCAGGTTCTGACTCCTGGTTGTTTGTTCCCTCCCCCCACCCCTAGGATATGATTATTTATTCTTTTAATTTTATCTTTAAACTTTCCATTTCCACTTGCTGCTGCTTCTCAGCATTTAAATATGCTCAAATTTCTTACTGGTAAAAAAGTCATTTTTTAAACTCTGATCAACTTCCATAACCAAACTTTCTTTTCTCTTTAACAAGCTTCCTGACAGCCAGGTACCTTCAGTGCCTCTAACTCTTCCCCCCTCAACCCCCTCCAGGTATTATTTAACCCCTGCAGTGGGGTTCCCCAATATCCCTGAAACTGCTATGGCCAAGGTCATGACAGAGTCTCTCCGGGGTACAAATAACAGACAATTCTCAATTTCGAGATTTTTTTATTTTTAGCAACATTTGCCATTCCCTCTGCTCAGCTTCCATAAAGACAGGTGCTTTTCCCCATGCCTCTAGCTGCTGCCCCGTCGCCCGCTCACTGGTAGAGTCCTCTTTTTTCTCTGCCCGTGCTTCCATTGGGGTAAGTCCCCGAGTCTCTTCTAAGCTTATTTTCATAGCCTTCATTATAACCTGCCTGGTGCTGACACCCAAATCTCAGCCTGATTATTCTGAGCATCAGGCCCAAGACCCAACCACTTCTTGGGCAATTTTACTTGGTCAAGTATCCCACCTTGTAAATGTCCTGAGCAGATCCCATTAACACTTCTATTCATCCTCACACTCCCTTTTAGCCCTGTGGTTTCTCCTTTATGCTTTTTCTCCTTATGCAATTGACACAAGTATCTACCCTACTGCCCAAGCCAAAAATTTAAGCACTTCTCTTGTGTCTTCTTTTTCTCTCATCCAATTGGTCTTAAGTTCATCAGATACATCTCCTCAATCCTTCCTCCGACATTCCATTCCCATTGCTCCTGCTTGGTTCAGGCCCTCAGTGAGCTTGGGTCTTAATTGCAATTTTTCTCCAGACAGCCTGAAACTGCCCTTGGTAAACAATTCGCTATCAGTTTCCTTGTACTCTGCTGTCTATGGATGTGTCTTGATCCTCAAATAGCCAGCCAGCTCCCAGAAGACGAGCCATCCCATATTCCTGGAATCTAATGCAATAAGCTTCCAAGTATGCAGCTGTACCATCCTGATTTTATTTAATTCTCTGCCTTTTTAAAGATAAGTACAGCAAGGGTCCTTGTATCCAGGACAAATATGATTCATGTGAATTTAACCAAGCAGCTCAGCAAAATAAGCCAAAGCCAGAGATAGGAGAAACAGGGTCTCACTACATGGTGTCTGCAGCCCTTTGTTCTTCCCTTCCCAGATAATAGAAAGGACTGAGGCCAAAAGCAACATATGTTAACTCTGGTTTTTCTGAGTTTCCGTGAGCCAGAGGCTGGCAGTGAGAGGGCATTTACAATGGAAGTTAGAACGAACTTAAACATCTACCTCCTGCATGTTTGAGAGTGTTCTACAAACTCCCAAGGTTATCAAATATGACAGCTAAAATGCTGTTTAATTATAGAGGAAAAGTACTAGTTAAAAATGTTAGAACTTGTCTGACTCTTGGCTTACAGCTGCTTGACACTGGACAAGTACCTAACTTACTTGAGTCAATTTCTTCCTGTAGTAAATGAGGCTAATTCAATTACTCTGCCCTGGGATGAGGAACAAGCAAAGCCAGATGATTATGAAAGTGCCATACCAATGAGAGATGTTGCCATCAACCTCTTAAAGCAGTGGGTTCTACTCCGGACAGAAGACGGGCAACAGTAGTTTCAAATGACAACTCTCTCTAGTTCTTAGGTACTGAGACTTTCTAGTTCTGCCATAGGACATTCATACCTAGTTTGATGTACTTATGTTTTTTTTTTAAAGATTTATTTATTAATGCATACGAGAACAAGGGTGTAGGGCAGAGATGCGGGGGTGGAGGTGAGAGGATTCACCAGAGTCAGAGTGGGGAGTAGAACAGGCGAATCCACTGAAATACACTGCTGAGGGGAGCGGCGGGCGAGACAGGAGAGATCTGCTGCGCCACGTGGGCTGCCCCCTGGACGGGGATTGAACTCATGGTGCAGTGACTGGAGATAGCTTGAGAGCGCTGAGACTTAACCCCTGTGCCACCAGGGAAGCCCTGTACTTATGCTGTTTTTACTTACCTGAAGTAAACGGATCTTGTAAAGTTTCTCTTTCTCCATATTATATCGTCTATCTAGGTCTTCCTAAAAATGGAAAAGAACACAATTATCTGGAAACAGGAAACTTTCTTTGATGAAGTCTTTTGAAGTTGAATATTGTTTTTATCATATCTTCCCCATCCTGACGCTCCGAATTTCTATTCTTCAGTGGCTGTGTTTAGGGTTTGGGTCATGAGAGACACCTGATATCCTTGCATGTCACTTTATAATAACTCTTCCTTCTGAAACCCAGGCTGAATCCAGTGTTCTTAACTGAACTGAACTATCCCCCCAAATGTATGTGCCCTTTCCTCTCCCCTCAAAAAAAAGAAACTTCAAATTATGGTCACAACTTAAAGAATGTGTTGTTTTTCCCTCTGTGTTTGGAAATGATGGTGGTTTGCTTTCTATGTGTCTTGTTAGGCTTGCACTGTCTAACAGGATGGCCACTAGCTATATGCAGCTATTCAAATTCACATTAATGAAAATTATAATAAAATTCAGTTTCTTAATTTCAGCAGTTACATTTCCAGTGCTCAGCAGCCATGGTAGCTAATGGCTATTGTATTGGGCAGTGCAGATTTAGAGTATTTGCATCATGCCAAAAAGTTCTTTTGGGCAGTCTTAAATTAAAATGCAAAACTAGCCCCTCTGAACCCAGTGAGGTAAGAGACATGGAGAGGTGGATTGCTGTGTCCCAGAAAGCTATAAAAGGGGTCAGAGGAGCCCTCCCTTAGCACACGTGCACACACACAGGAAAACACAAGTCTCTTCCACAGTGGCTCAACTGAAGGCAAACCCCTTCAGTTTGTCGTAGGGGGTCTCAAACCTCACTCTTCTGGGAGCATATGAGGGCAAGGGAGAAGAGGAACCCTAAAGGAAGCAGAGGTGTAGAGACTTCCCTGCTTTTCTTTTTCTTCTCCTCTTTATTTCCCATCTTTTCCTCAGGATGTCTGTTGAAGTGCTGGGAGCTTAACTCAGAACAGGAGTCAGAAAACAATAGCTCGTCAGCGAACTTCTACAGCTCTTGCATCAAATTTGCATTTCTGCCTATTTTTGTAAAGAAGTTTTATTGGAAATGGCCATGCCCTTTTATTTCTGTATTGACCATGACTACTACAGATTGGCTCCCAAAGTTGAACATATTTACTCTCTGGCTATTTACAGCTTGCTGACCCTGGGATACAGCATAATAGAGAGAGGAGTTCTTGCTTGGCACACTTCCATCCCCTCAGAGTCCCGGGCTGTGGCCACATATGTGGCTAATGCAGGCCTCTCCCCACTCAGCTGAGAGGCAAGACTGGAGATAGCAGGCCTGTGCACGGTGCTTGGAGGAAACCCATCTGAAAGGTGGCGATGGCTGGTGTGATCTTGCCTCCATCTGACGGATAGGTGTGTAAAATGGGACTATGCCCATGAGAGCCCATGGATGAAGTGGGGACAGAGAATATTAAAGTAGGCATGAGAAACTGTCCTAGCAGACCGCAAAGCCAGGTACCACACCCCCAGGGACAATGGCAATCCTGAGAATGGGTGGGTACTTGCATTATGAGTCATCACAGGAGTTACAGCATCAGGCGGCTCTCCACTGGTGAGTGTCTGAAATGATAAAAAGCAACAAACACCTCTTCTGAGTAAGAAAAGGGCTAGAAGCTGAGGGTCTAGTTGTAGGAAGGAGTGAGGATAGTGGATATTCATCAACTGTGTCTGAATAGGGAGCCCAAAGGAAATTTTAAATTGTTTTTAAATGTCTGTTGGCAACACACTAGCAAGCCTAATTGTCTTTTTTTAAAAAAAGATTTATTTATTTATACATACAATAATTGGGGTATAGGCCAGAGTTGAGGGGTTGAGAGGATTCACCAGAGACAGAACAGGCAGACTGACTGGAATACACTGCTGAGGGGAGCAGCAGGCGAGACAGGAGAGGTATGCTGCACTATGTGGGTAGCTCCCTGGCAGGGGATTGAACTAGTGCTGCAGAGGCTGCGGCTAGCTTCATAGGTTGCGTCTTAACCCCTCGTGCGACCAGGGAGGCCCAAGCCTAATTGACTTTGACTGTGAGTAGTAATCCCTCTAACAAGATGTGATTGTTAAGAAATGTGAACCTGAAATCACACATCTGTGATTTGTACAAAGTCAGAGGCTGACTGAGCTGATGATTTTAGACTCTTAAGGCTCAAAGTTTCAGAAACAACTCAAGAGGCAGAGTTTGCAATGGGGTCTCATAGTGTCCTGCACAGCCAGAGCACTGCCTGTCCCCAAGCAGAGGGGCACATGGACTGGTGCTGGGTGACTCAGATGAGCTGATTCCCTCCCTGAGCCTCAAGGACTCCTCTATAAGGGAGAGGATGCAATCGATGGGTCTGAGCTACCTTCAGTTCGTACATCAAGCTCAAGGAGCCTCAGGATATTAGCTTTGAAATGTGAGATGAGAAAACAAAAACACAGGAATCTGAGCAATCTAATTTGGCAAGAGAAACCACCAAATGGTGGTTTGTAATTATTGCTTCATGGAAATCCACACAAACTCCTTGGGAGCTGACGTCCTTTGTTCAGAGAGCCAGCTGGTCAGATGTGTCCCATAACAATGTTCTGCACAGCCAGGGTTTAATATAAGTTAACACTGTGCTCCTTTAGGGATAAGACACAAACCCAGGAAGGAGTGGAGGGTGAGTAAACTGATAAAAATTTCAGAGAAAAGGTTGAATGGGAAACAGCCCAGTTCCTGGAAACACCACTTTCCTAAATGCAGGGAGAGGTCAGAGTTGTAATTGGTAATTCCTGTCTGGGGTGCTGCTATCCACAACTACTGCTGCCATTTTTTTTTTTTTAAGATTTATTTTTATTTATTTATTCATATAAGAACTGGAGGGTGGAGTAGGTCAGAGATGTGTGTGTGTGTGTGTGTGGGGGGGGTGTATGTGAGAGGATTCACCAGAGACAGATTGGGAACAGAACAGGTGGATCTGGGTGACACAGGAGAAGTTGCTGAGCCATGTGGGTCAGCTCCCTGGCCAGGATCGAACTCTGCCTTTTATACTACAGAAAGAAGAGAAAGAACAGGGATGGAAATTTAAGAAAATCCTGTGATGAACATTTGAAAAATGTGTGTTCAGAGGACTAAGAAAAAGGGCCAGTCCTGTTTAACACCAGGCTGTGTGCTGGTTAGTGCCCTAGAAATCTTTTCACAGGGCAAGTCCAAAGGGCCCCTGAAAGTCTCACAGACTCCTTCAGAGCTTTACCTTTTCACCTCCGCCCGGTGATCTCTCAGCTTTCAGGTTTTCGATTTCTTGCTGTAGCCTTGTCATTTCCTCCTTTAAAAGTGATATGAATGTATTTTATAGAACCTGGACAGGCTTATAACTGGATTTAATTATTTCACTTGTGCCAGAGTCTAATTTTCACATTCTGTGAGTATATGCTAGAAAAGTCCACTAGCAATTAGCAATCAGCAGCCCTTACTCCCAATTTTCAGCCTTGGAAAAATTTGGATTGGGGGGCAGTTTACAGAGGGCTTTTTGTTTCTAAAGGGCAGTGAGGCACACAGTGATTGCTGGGACATGATAACAGGGTGGTCTAGAGCCTCTTGAGTTCCAAATAACCTTTTCTGCTTCCTCTCTTCACACACTGTCCACCCTTCCTAGAGCTCACCAACCACCTCCTCCACTTGCTACTCTTGCCTGGCTTTAAGGAAAATCCTGCTTCTGGATGGTTCTTGTGCCTGAGTGGCCTCTCCTCACCTGGGGCTCACACAGAACCTGCCAGATCACTTGTGCATGCATCACCCTACCATTAGACTATGTGTCCTCAGATGGCAGGAACTGAGGCATGGTCAAGACACACAGGCATCCCAGGTTATCAGGACAGCCCTGGTTTCGCATGGTTTTATTCTTTTTATACTGTTAAATACACTTATAAATTGAAAAAACATTGTTTGTCAGACTGTGCTCTCAAATTGAGGTGCTGCACGCATAGCTACTAATCTAATTTACACCTGGCATCTAGCAGGGTCCCTATCACAGTGCTCTGCTCAGCTTACACAACTGACACATAACTGCTGGGTGAATCTATTCCTCCCCTGGATGTTATGACCCAACAGGACTACAGGAGGTAAATAAAGCAAGAGATTTACAAAAGTCCCAGTTTAAAATCTGCCCACATTTGGCAAACTTACTCGGCAATGTGCTTTAAACTCCTGTTCCTGGCTTTTCAGATTCTCATTCATGGCCACAAGTGCTCTCAAGTTCTGCAGGATACTGAAGAGAAAAGACTGTACAATGCCACACCACAACCCACTGCAATTTTACAAATTACAGCTAAAACCAAGTCCCCAGCTAAAAAGGACTACCCTTTGCCTCTCTCAAGTGTATCTAAGGGGGTCTTCATAGATGTAATGACTGCCATTTAACGGACACGCTCTTTCTTTATGCCCCAGTACATCCAAACAAACATGAAAATGTCAACTGCAGAAACAGCAATAAGTTTAAAGAGTACAAGATATACTCAGTGATATCAGTTAGTCAATAGTGTTCAGAGCATAGATAGTATCGCTGACCATTTTTAATTTCCATTCTGAAAAGGAAACAAGTTGTGTAAATCAGTAAAAGCACTAATTTGAAAATAATAATGTCAAGTACCTGATAGTACTTTGTTCCACATCATGAAAAGAGGATTTCCACTTACAAAGTCAAATAATCTGTAGGTACATCTCTGCTAAAAATGTCCAACAAACTCAGAATTGTTCAGTCTGTGCCTGAAACTTTTTATGATTTTACAATCTCTGCAAATGAGTGACACCTAGAAGCATTTACCATCCAGTTTGTTCCTGGCTTTTCAGATTGGTGCTAAATATAAGTGCTTCTTTTATTTAATTTAAATTGTCTAAGACAATTTAAAATGGAAAAAAAACAACTGATCTTCTGTCTTTTAGCAAATACTGCACCTTTTGTCCCAATAAGACATGGCTAAAATGCGTGCTATTAAAAAACTGTTACTAATGGTTAACTCCAGGGCTGCAGGGAGGGATGGGAGAGAAACATTTCCCCCTTGTTTGTACTGCGAATGTATTGCTCCCCCCCCCTCCCCCGTTTTTAAAAATAGAAAGGCAAAAAAAACCAAATAACAAGAACCTGCTGCTTCTGACTCTGAGTGAGAGTGGAGAGAGAGGCGGTTTACTCAGGGCAGCCCGGCAGTGGGCACATCCTGGATCAGCATGGGAAACTGACCTGGAAGGGTCAGAGCATGATTCTTGGGTCTTCATTTCTGTGCCCAAAGAAATTAAACCACCAGGTACTGGCAAAGTTTCTTTCTTCAAAGAGAAATAAAAATAACCTGAAACCTCTTACCTTGGGTCAGCTTTGGCTTCTATCTTCTTGAGGGCTGCTTGTTCTTTGTCCAATTTCTCACTGTAACTCTTCAGCTGCAAAAGAATGGGGGCCCCGTTGCTGGAGATTTGATAGTAGGGAAGAGCAAGCACTTCTATTCTCCTCCCCCTACCCCCACCAGTACCCCTACTCTGACATACGGCCAAACAAACTGGTTTTGGTGGTACACTGAGAAAACAGGTGGATAGGAGAAACAGGATGGGAATACAGGGAAAGTTCAAATCTGACTTTTCTGGACATTCTCTGTTGGTTAAAGAAATTTTGTCAATGACTTCAAATCACAGCAGCAAATGGGTAAAAGTCACAAGTAATGATAATAGCAAGTGCTTTTCAGTAGGAAGGGGGCACGGGCAGCATCCTATCTCCTGGCAACTTGTTCCAGCTCCAATAATTCCACCTTCAGTTTCTGAGTCAGATAGTGAGATTTAAAAACAAATTTTTTTTACAGGGGCCCAGATTTTAATTTATCAGGTGCAAAGTTCTACCACAGAATACTAGGCTGCTATTAAAAAAGTGCGAAACCATGAGCATAGCATACTTATAAAATGTATAAAGGAATATATATACTGAATGTATACAGGTATAAAAGAATGTAAGTGTTACTTGTACACGCAGAAAATGTTTATGAAAAAGATTCACAAGAAACTGGTTGCACTGGTAACTGCTGAATAGGTCATCTGTGTGGCTGGGTTATGGGAGGATTGGGGGTACACTCTTATTACTTTTTTTTTTATATAGAGGCATGTTATTTATTTATTTATTTATTTGTTTGTTTGTTTTTGTTTATACACGCACTGGGTACAGTCAGAAGCACGGGAGGGTGAGAGAATTCACCAGAGCCAGATTGGGGAGTAGAGCAGGCAGAAGGACCGAAGTACACTGCTGAGGGGAGCAGTGGGCGGCAGGAGAGGTCTGTGCGCCATGTGGGACCCTCCTCCAGTGGCCGGGGAGCAGCCGGGGATCGAACCGGCACCGCAGAGGCTGCGGGCAGCTTCGCAACCCAGCGCTCAACCGCTGCGCCACCGGGGAGGCCCCACTCTTATTACTTTTTGAATTTTGAATACACGAATATGTTACCTATTCAAAAAAAAAAAAAAGTTAAAGTTCCAAGGGTTCAAGTAGAAAATAGAAGACCAAGCACAAAATGGTTGGATTTTGCCGACAGGAATGGATTGAGGAGAACAGCTGTGAAGGGATTAGCAGCAGTGGGGAGGACTCGTCTGCAGGTCTGAGGACTGGTGCTGGAGCTCCAGCGACAGGCAGGTCCCCAGAGAGCTAGAAATACCCAGAGATTCTGGGAGTGACTCAACGGTGAATGTCAGTTATCACTGCCTGATTACACCAAATACTAGGATCCACCCTCCCAAAATAATCACCCGAGGCAGTTGCCACACATACAGCACACAGAAACCACACAATTCGTAACAAGAAATTTCAGAATTAAGATGAACATATCACCAAGAATTACCAACATCTGAAGAAAAGATAAGACTATGAAACAGACGTATCAACTCAACAAATGAATTCTGATCGGAAACGAAAGGGCAGTGAGGCACACAGTGATTGCTGGGACATGATAGGAGGGTGGTCTAGGAGCCTCTTGAGTTCCAACTGGCCTTCTCTGCTTCTCTCTCCACATGCTGTCCACCCTGGAAACTGTGTTTCCAGATCAAGAAAAACTTTAGACAAAATGCTCTTAGAGACCCATGAGACCATGCTGCCTACACTACCATGAATGAATCTCCAACACGGGAAATGAAAGCAGTGCTTGCTAAAACATGAGCAGAGGTGGGCTAGAACCTGGTGGTCCCACTGATGCAATGGCGTGTAACCCCCACGGGCGTCTCATACTGTCACTGGTCTGCCACACCACGCCTGGCTTTACTTTTCCTAGGGGTACTGCAAGGACAGGGCTTCCTTGATTTTTGGTGTCACTAGGTTTTCCTGGAAGGTAAAACTTGGGAACACTGTTGTGAAAGGTTCAGATGGTTCATTTTGCCCAGTTCTTGCCTTGAATAGATATGGAAGCTGAAGTGCAGAGATGAAGCTCCCTACTTATTTAGGGGTCTGCTCTGCACTATTCTCATCAAGTCAAGCTTCTTTACACTTGATCTTAGCCAAAAGGCCGAGAAGCAATGAAATCAAGCTTCTTTAGAAGTTGCTCAGCACTAGATTTTAAACACCTTCCCATTTGACTGCCACCACTGGAACCCTGGCAAAGATTCCTGGCCTTGGTTTCCTCATCAGAAAACAAGGAATGATAACCATGTTGCTAGAGCTGTTGTGCAGATTCAACAGACTAATCTAAGTAATATACCCAGAGCTCACCCAGCACGTGGTAATGCTGGCTACTATTATTATTTGTGTATAGAAAGACTATTCCTTATTATTGACTAAAATTATACCCTCTACCTTTCTAGCACTTGAAAGGGCTTCAACCAAATCACTTCTCGGCCTTTTGGCTAAGATCAAGTGAAAGGGCTTCAACCAATATTCGATTTTGTGTGTTCAGCACAAAAAGTGACTTTACAGCTACTTAGGGTTTATATCCTAAGGCAAATAAGTGTTGTAAGACATTGATAGCAAGATGCTTTGCCTTTAATCTCTTCCCAACTGTTATATAAAGATGAGTCCATGACATGGCAAACTTCAGGTCAGACACTCTGTAGCTTTCAAAGTAAGACAGCACCAGGGACTGAACCCCAGGAGTGTGCCATCTAACCTATAAGGAATGCAGTCCCAGAAGAGTATGAAGAAAGCTAATCTGTCCAAATGCAACACAAGCATCTCTAGGAAGAATTAAAAAAAAAGTCACTAATTCTTAGGCCTGTCTTTTTCAAACATGCTGAACATAACTGAAGAGACTAGTCCATGTCAGAATTAAAAATCTCTGTCAGGTTTAAAGGAAGGCAGTAAACTAAGTGTTGCATACTGCTCTAGAAGTTGGAATTTTAAATGGGTAAATTCCAGTTGAAATAAAAAAAACCACATATACAAATATTAAAAGTAAACAGGCCTCCAAAATAATCTGAATATTGAAATAACAAGATTTTTAAATGATGAAAATACGAAACATTTGACCTTGAAGAAATATATACAATTTTTATGGAACTCATAAAAAAAAAATAGGGCCTGCCTTATTTCAGAAATGTCTCTGAATATCAGCTCTGCTTCCACAGCATTCAGACATACTCGGCAGGGCCCTGGCAGGGAGGTCCTGTGGAGAACATCTGTAGCCTCAGAGCCAAAAGCCAAAACGACAGGAAGAGCTTTTCTGATCCCGGTGAGGATAGCTTTCTATAGAAACCAACAGAAACACCTAAATGCCCCTCATGACAGAGCTGGCATCAAAGGCGTTTGTTTTCCTTGTCCAGTTTCCTAGGCAACCAGAAGTGGGAGGTAAATATAATACTGATGTGAGATGACACACTTGCAACCAGAATTAGAAAATGGATCCATAGTTCAAAATATACCAACAACCTTCCTCCTCCTCCTCCTCCTGAAACTCCTTCCCCCATTCTGCCTAGGAGCTAAACAGCAATTGTGAACAACAAGTAACGGCCCTCCAGATCCTCAGGGGCTTGCCTCTGTGAATTTAACCCACTACAGATTTAACATCCTTGCTATGTAGTTAGGTCTACTGGTTGTGGGCCATGTTAGGTACTGCGTAGGTACAGCCTTTTCGTCTCACTTGTCTCTAGATAGTACAATATAACCACTTTTTACACAGTATTTAATGGTGTTAGGTATTACAAGAATCTAGAGATGATTTAAAGTACACCAGAGGATGTGTGCAGGTAATACTACTGCAAATACTACTCCCATTTTAGATAAGGGACTTTAGTAACTGCAGATTTGGTTTCCTGAGGGGTCCTAAAACCAATCCCCTGAGGATACTGAGGAACAACCATATATGACTCTTTTCTTACCTTAGAAAAAGTTTTCTAACTTTTCTTACCTTAGAAAAAGAAACTTCCTTACTCTCAAGAAACTCAGGATTTCAGCACTAGTCTACCACCTGATGCTTGAGCATTGATCATTTACAGGACCCTTTCTACTCCTCTGTGTGGCCTGCTCCCTGCTCATCTCCCTAAAGAGGCTTTCCTGACCCTGGCAGCCCACAGAGCTGTCTCCCACCTAGATCGCTAATGGTTTAGGACACAGAAGGATGGACAACCAATGGCATGGATCACATCCTACCACGTGACTGACTGAGTCCCCAAGCAAACCTGAGCCTCGAGAAAGGGACCACGACTCTTCCACACAGATGGATGATTCACGGCATCATGTCAGCAACAAAGGTCAAAAGCGATTCTTAACAAAGCGTAGGAGGAAGGAAAAGCTGCTCACCTCTGTCAGTGTTTTCTTAGCATCATTATATCTGGCTTGCAGGTTGGAATAATTTGCCTGGAGCTGTAAATGAAAAGATAAAAAATACCTGCTCTCATTTGATCTTCACAACAACACAGATGTGGGTAGTAAACCCATTTTATAAAGGAGAACATGGAAACTCAGAAATATTTAAGCTGGGTAAGCGTGGAATTTTAGAAGGGGCAGGCACCTACAATAACTGAAGGAACAAAACACATTAGCACCAACTATGTGTGAGGTGATGTATTAGGTATATGGCGTAAATACTACAACTAAATCCTTACAGTCAATGGAAGACATTCTTATTACGGATAACGAAAACAGACTCAGAGGGGTTAAGTTACTTGACTGAAGTTTCATAACTGGTAACTGATAAACCAGGGTTCAAGTTCAAGTTCAGATCTGAGTTTTCTGTGAGGCTACAATCAATTCAGTTAACCAACTTGCCTATTCATAGGACACTAACTACATGTTAGTTAGTCAGACTATGACTGGTTGGCAAATAGTGCCAGACAGAGGAGGGACTAAGGACTTCAATACTATGAGAAAGAATTACCTTTATTATTCAAAGTTATATAGTTGTAAACTTACATCTCAAAAATGTCATCTCCCTGTTCTTTACTGAAGAGGGAAATCCTTGTGCTATGTATGAACTTCCAGAAATCAAAAAATATTCCATTGAAAGCTCAATGGAATCATACATTTCTACTTTTAAAAAGGGGGGAATAGCAGAAAACCACCATCAGATTCTCTGGTTATTGCCTACCTACAAATTAACAATTAGTTTTATTATCTCTCAATGATTATTGGATTATAATCCTTGAACCTCTAAGCAATTTATTAAGAATTCTGCCACCTTCAGAAATCATCACTCCTAATGTCGTGCTTCTAGTTACCAGTCTCCATGACTGATAAATGGTTACACTTCCAACAAGACTATCAAGAAGACAACTGAAGCAGAAAACAGAGGTGATAAAGGAGGGAGGCAGGTGGGCACTGGCTTCTCCTTCTCAAAGGGTGTTGTCTGTGCAATGAAGGTTGTTAGTAACCTGTTTGTATAATTGATAGATGGGAGTATTTCTAGAGAAAGTTTGTTTTTCTCTTGATATTCTTGTGATTGAAGGTTTAAAGTTTTTCTGGGGTTGCAAGAAGGGGTCCTGTTATTTTCCATCTGCTACATCCTGCTTCCTGCCTACCTCTCACCCCTATACCACCCATCTCAGATTTGTTCAATGCTCTGCTCAAATGAGGTATGTGTGGGAGATGACAAACATCACACAGTCATTGCCTTCAAGGGTTGGACCAGTAAATTGGGAACTGAATTATGAGGAGAACTGGGGGAAGTAGAGGCCTGGGGGAGACCCAGAAAAAAGAGTCTATTTGCTCACCATGAAGTTCAAGGAAGGTTTCACCAACAAGACTCATGAGAGTTGGATCTCAGTGGGAAGGAGCTAAAGAAGGTAACTCTTCATCTGACCATCTTGTCTTAAATGGGGAATATCCCACCCAGTAGCTTAGCTTAGTTTTCATATTGTTAGAGTCCTCTATGATTCTCCTATTTCCATTTTCTTCTTCGTCACAGACTCTGTGACTTACCCCCCAGATTAAATCACTAATGAACACTTCTACTTGGAGTCTGCTTTGCTTCCTCAATACTGGGTTTCTTCTCTGGCCCCACTAGCTGCCCCTTGCCTTTGCAGAGCACACCCTCGTTGGACCACAAGATGTTCTTTACTCTGCTCTTGCTTTGGCCTCTCCTCCTGTGTCTATGGCGGGTTAAGGCTCTCTCCACGATTCTGATCATCAAGATAACAGGTGCATATTGGTTGTTTTTTACCTGCGTGATCATGTGGCAAGAGGTTCTTGGATTTAAAAGAGTTTGAAATCTCTCATATACTAGTGATAGAGTGTAAATTGATAAAATAGTGAATAATTCAACAATTTCTAGCAAAATTAAAAAAATACATTTTTTAATCTAGCAATTCCACTTTCTAAAATCTCTCTTACAGAAATACTTACATATTTGCACACAAATGATTGTACAAAGATGTTCATGGTAGTATATATTTGAAATTGGTGGTGGTGGGGAACACTGGAAAAACCTACACAGCCATGAATAGAGGACAGGTCAGGAAGAACTTACATGTCCATGAGTAGAGAGCAGGTTAAATAAATTAAGGTATATGTATACTCTGTTGCACTGTGAAGTCATTAGAAAGAATGAAATAGATTTGCATAGTTTATGAAAATGATGTTGGTTTTTAAATCTTTACAAAATATTCCTCTCTAGGCTTATGACAAATATTCTATCATTTTTAAAAGATTTATTTATCCATGCATACAAGAACTGGGGTACAGGCCAGAGATGTGGGGGGTGAGAGGATTCACCAGAGACAGAGTGGGGAACAGAACAGGCGGATCTACTGAAATACACTGCTGAGGGGAGCAGTGGGGGAGACAGGAGAGGTCTGCTCCATTATGTGGGTAGCTCCTTGGCCGGTAATTGAACTGGTGCCACAGTGGCTGTGGATAGCTTCATAGTGCTGAGACTTAACTCAAACAACTCTTTGTGTCACCAGGGAGGCCCCCCTCCTATGCCCTTTCCTCCTGAACATGACCTTGTCTGATAATACTCTACTACCCAGCTCCCTTACTCATGACGACAGCTACAGTGCAGAAATTGGACAAGACTGTTCCTCTCCCAGGTCTGATAGCATATTGTTTTCTAAGTCCCCACCCACGCTGCCCATGTAGTCTTCCTGCCCAGCCAATGCTTACTCATCCTTCTAGTTGCGGTCCTCTGTGACACAAGGTCAGGTCTTCCTGTCAGTCGCTTTCTCAGCTCCCTAGACCACTTCTTCAAGCACTATCACATGGTAAGTGAAGAATGACATGTATGACACTACTGCCTTAAGATCCCTGAGAGCTGAGATCAATAACATGTTCTGTATTCATCCACACAGCTTAGTTGTGTGTCTTACACATAGTAGTCTCAGTAAACAGTGTGAATTAACAAGTGCTATTGTTGCTCTGTGATCACCTTCTAGAACAGGTTGGGGTACTTCTTCCATAAAGGACCAGAAAGTAAATGTTTTAGGTTTTGTAGGCCATGTGGTCTCTGCTGCAACTACTTAACTCTGCCACTGGAACTTGAAAGCAGCCACAGAAAATACGTAAACAAATGATGACTATGTATTCCAACAAACGCATTACAAAAATGCGGGTGAATGGATTGGCCCCAGGGTCATAGCATCCCAGCCCCTATTCTGAAGTCACCTTTGACCATTCTACTATGAAGCTCTTAACACTCTCCCCAATTTTTCCCATCCTGAAGAATGGTCATTTTAATTGAATAAAATTATAGAAAGAAAACACCAACCTCTTCTAGATGTTTGGTCTTCTGCAGAATCTGTTTGTTCAAGGAGAGGACTTTCCGTCGATGGAGTTGGGAGGTTCCTAATTTTTCTGGACTTTCTTCAGTTGACAGCTCAGACTGCTGTGGGAAACAGAGAGGGAAAAACCAAGTAATTTAATTAGTCCCTCTGGGTGCATGTAAGACAATCGACCTGGCTTAGTCTGGGTAGCCACTGACAATCATGCCAGTGCAGCCACGGGGTCCTGAGTAAAACCCAGGTACAAAAAAAGATTCTGCCAGAATGATCACTGACCCTGTCAACAGACCGTATCCCCCTCAGAGGCAGAGGGTATGTAACTGTGGTTATATCATATAGGGAGCAGGGCACCGTGAAAGGTTCATAAACAGAGGAAAAACATTTAAAATCATTTAAAATCACCATTTGAAGGTAAAATCTAGTCATTTGCAACAAAATGGATGGAATTTAAGGAGTTTATGCTAAGCAAAATAAATAATAGGGATAAAGACAAATACTGGATGACTTCACTTATATGTGGAATATAAAGAAACAAAATAAACAAACTATACCAAAACTAACCATAGAAATCTGTATGCAGAATTGAGGCTACCAGAAGGGAAGGGGAGGGGGAAGGAAAATGAGGGGGAGGAGACCCAGTGGGCAGTGCTGGAAGATTATAGGTTCTTTGGTGGTGGGTATGGTATGGTGACATACATCCAAAGAGGTGTGAATGCGAATTATACTCCTAAATCATATTTAGCATTGTAAATCAACATTATATCAATAAAAAATACATTTATTAAAAAAAATAAATAAAATCACCATTTGAGACTTATCAAGAATGATGAATTGATTCATTTTCATTCAAGTACTATAAGTATATGGTTAAAAAACCATTTACAGTACTTACAATGAAAAAAAGCAACAGCCTCCAAACGTATTTCTCCACATCCATTTTTACCAGGTCTTATTTCTATTTTTCTGGTACTCACAGAGGCTATATCTGGGAGGGATAAAAGTTGCTGAGAGGCCAGTAGGAAATGCCTGAAATTGTGTGAGGAGGAAACTGAAAAGGGTTGGAGAGGACATAGATAGTCAGAATTGGGAGTAAGGGAGAGGTTACTTGATGGGGTGGTGAAGTGCCTAGTAGTAATGCAGTAGTAACATTACTAAGAAACCAAACAAAGAAGGAAGCAGCTTGATGTATGTGACGAATACAAACATTTGCCTCATGAGCCCTTGTGAAACTTCAAGAAAGAGAAACAAGAGGGCCTCCCCGGTGGCGCAGCGGTTGAGCGCTGGGTTGCGAAGCTGCCCGCGGCCTCTGCGGCGCCGGTTCGATCCCCGGCTGCTCCCCGGCCACCGGAGGAGGGTCCCACATGGCGCGCAGACCTCTCCTGCCGCCCGCTGCTCCCCTCAGCAGTGTACTTCGGTCCTTCTGCCTGCTCTGCTCCCCGCTCTGGCTCTGGTGAATTCTCTCACCCTCCCGTGCTTCTGACTGTACCCAGTGCTTGTATAAACAAACAAACAAACAAATAAATAAAAAACATGCCTCTAAAAAAAAAAAAAAAAAAAAAGAAAGAGAAACAAGAAGGTTCACACTGTTGTAACAGGTGTACTTAAAATACATCTTAGTGATCATAGATAGCTTGATTAACTGGTCAGATACCCATTATAACCACATTTCCTTTTTTACTGGCTTATTCTAATTTTAGGCTAATGTTTGATTTTAAGCCCAAGTGCAAAAAACTAGTTGGGTATTTGATTTTTGCTGCAAGTTTTCACAGTGACCACAGCTTTGAAATCCAGGAAGATTTACCTAGAAGGGAAAGAAATGGGAAAGTGAGGAGGAGGAGAAATAGAAATATACAGCCATCATTTATTTTGGTGAAGGGTTCTCTTAAGCAAATCAGCAGCATTACTAACAGATGATGACTTCTTTCTGCTTAACAACTCCAGAGGTAGGAAATAGCCAGCAGGATGTGGCTGCAGAAAATGATAAGTGACATCATCTTCTGTCCATGGACTTGGTAGGCCATAAAAAATATAGAAAAAATAAACATTTGGTATTGTAACACAGCGAGGCATGAAAAAGTTAACCAACATATTCAAGTTTATTTGGATTTCAAATTACTTTTAAAAGTGTAATTGATTTTTTAAAAAAAGATTTATTTATACAAGAGCTGGGGTACAGGCCAGAGGCGTGGGAGGGTGAGAGGATTCACCAGAGACTGAGCGGGGAGCAGAGCAGGCAGAAGGACCGAAGACATTGCTGAGGGGAGCAACGGGCAAGGCAGGAGGGGTCTGCCGAGCCAGGTGGGTATCTCCTTGTAATTAATTTTGGACACAATGTATTTATAATTTGAAGTCAGGGAAACCAAAAATCCTATGAGAGTATGAAAAAAGGAGAAAGGGAAAGATCACTCCCTTTAGATTTTCAAATCACTTGTCAGAAACAGAATTGTAAATAATTATATTTCCTTAACTCTGATGGCACCAACCCAAACTGTATTATTTGGCCACTACTGTCTGCTATACATTTAGCAACTATTTTCATATACCTACTTTTAGATTTGTGTTTTAACATTTAATTTGAGATTCCTTGACACTGATTTCCAAAGTGTTACTGGCATATCCTCAGAGCATTTTATTTTAGAGCAGAATTACATAAATTTTCTATCTCATGACTTACTGCTTTCTAAACACAATCAACTCCCCAGTCACTAGAACTACCTCCTTATTATGTCTCTGTTTGCTGCCAGGATCATTTGAGTCCCCAGCCTCTCCCAGTTGCATATGGGCAACATACACCAGGGAATCCCTGTCTCTCTCACTTCCCAGACTTCCTCCAACTTTTGAGGGTAAGCGCACACTCATTCAGGTTTGTTCCAGAATCTTTGGTTTGGGTTGGGTGATGTCTCCAACTCTTAGCAGGTTTTTCTACGGATTTAGCTGCTTTTAAGGCCGAGGTCCCAAGACAATGAAAACTGCATTTACACCCAGCATCTACAACCTCCTATCAGTATAATAAGCATACCTGACTTTGTTTTAAAACTATGACTTTCAACTTCATCACTTGATTTCTACTTGTAGGAAAGCCAATAGCTATCCCACTATCCGGAAATAGAATTTTCAGGCTGGCAGTTTATCTCTTTCTCATTCCTAATATTTCTCAACCTCTCTCTCTCAATTAAAATTTTTTGCCACATGGTCAATCAAGATTTTTTAGGGGTTCTTGGTGTCAAATTTCTTTTTTTTTTAAATTTATTTATTTATGCATACAAGAGCTGGAGTACAGGTCAGAGGTGCAGGGAAGTGAGAGGATTCACCAGAGACTGAGTGGGGAACAGAACAGGCAGACTGACTGAGGTACACTGCTAAGGGGAGCAGTAGGTGAGTCAGGAGAGGTTTGCTGCGCCATGTGGATATAGCTCCCTGGCAGGCCGGGGATCGAACTCGTGCTGCAGTGGCTGCGAATAGCTTCACAGGTTGTGTCTTAACCCCCTGTGCCACCAGGGAGGCCCTAGTATCAAATTTCTTTTCATAATATTAGGATATCATTTTTTTCCTCTTTAAAAGTGAAAATTCCAGATGTCACATATGCTATCACTGATCTGATGTTAATAAATAATGTACTTTTGTTATTTGTAAATGATCAATACACAAACTTTTGGGAGCTCAATAATTTTAACAGCTTGCAAAGGTCCTGAACCTAAATTTTTTTTTTAAATAATAAATTTTATTTTTATAGTCCCCATACAATTGCAACCCCCCCATTCTGACCCCAATCCCTCCCCTCCCGTCCCCCACCCCCCAAAAAGTGTCTCTGGTTCATAGTTTTTTGTTTATTTTGATTTTCACTTTCTTATAGTTATTCATTTTCCTGGTCCCTTATTTAAGTTTTCTAGATTCCTGCTATGAGTGAGACCATCCAGTATTTTTCTTTTTCTTTCTGGCTTATTTCGCTGAGCATGATCCCTTCCAGCGCCATCCATGTTCCTTCAAATTGCATGTGTTTATCTTTTTTGAATGCTGAGTAATATTCCATGGTATATATGTACCACATCTTCTTGATCCAGTCATCTATTTTTGGGCATTTGGGCTGTTTCCAAAGCTTAGCTATTATAAATAGAGCTGCTATAAACATAGGGGTGCAGGTGTTCTTTGGAATGGATGTTTCTGTGTCCTTTGGGTAAAGACCTAGGAGTGGAATTGCTGGATCATATGGAAGCTCTATGTTTAGTAGGTCCAGAAATCTCCACACAGCTCTCCATAGTAGTTGGACCAGTTTGCACTCCCACCAACAGTGCAGAAGAGCTGAACCTAAAAATTTTGAGAACACTACTTTAAGGAGCCTGGCTCACTTGGGAATTATTCATTGATTGGGACAGCCTCATTAACACTGGAGTGGACATACCCATCAACTATATAACATTGAGAGGGGAAAGTTCTTTCTCATTCCATCTTTACACTAGACAGCTGATTCAGAGCACCATACAGAGAGAAAATGCTCGAAGTGCACAGGAAGAATCTTGACATCTCTATATTTACTCTTATATCTGTATAATGGTATATATTCCAAGCAAATGTGAGCTTTCAAAATCCTTTCTTTTATTGCTAGGTAGCAATCTCATTGCTTTGTGGAGTCCCTTAAATTTGCACCTGCAAAGTAATGTACAATAATACCAGGATTCTAAGTGTCATTTCTATATTTGCCATTTCTCCAGTCCAATTCTTTAAAATGACCAATATGTATATGAACAGGCCCATAGTGTGTGTGTGTGTGTGTGTGTGTGTGTGTGTGTGTATTTCTTCTATTTGTCTGAGTCTAGAATGGTGTTACATAACCTTTTTTTTTTTTAACATGAGAAGCTACTTTGTACAGATAAAATTGTTTATTCTGGAGCTGAACTGAAATGAGTTCTTAACCTATTCAACAGAAAGCTAATTGTTCTGTTTTATTAAATAACCTAAAATTTTCATTTCCTTCAAACACAATCCTCAAAGCCATGAATAATGGGCAGATGAGGTGGAAACAGGTCTTTAAAACAGTATGGCTCATTTGATACTCTGTTCACTGACAGTCACAGTGGGGAGAGAATTGAAGATGACCAAGTTGGAT